AAGCGCAGATAGAGTGCGTGAGTCCCTTGATTGTATAGGCTTGTATACTAATTTGGGTGGGGTTGATGTTCGCGCGGGTAACGCTAACCATATACAGGGGGGTCGCACTTTTATGAGAACTATAATAAAGGAGCTTCTCCGCGCTTCAAGGAGATGAGGCCCATGGCTCTGAGCGCCGCCATCCGCCATCGCATTGCGGTGAGAATATCGCGCATCACGATGGCCGACGATGTTGAGTGTTTGAAGTTGTGGAGTGGGTGACAAACCGGCAGAAGAACGAACAATCAAACGTCGCGCATCTAAACGCCCATCCAACCAGAAACATCACAGCATAAAGGAGCGAACCCGATCGACGAATCACTTTCGCTTGCGCGCCAATTCCAATTCCAATGGCTATTTGTTCGCCCGCAGCCTTGTCACAAGATTGGTGTTGTAATCTTATTTTTCCACCTTCCGTTAGCCGCCATGCCCCCCTCAAAGGGCCTGAGGCGAGCAAACCATCGTGAGTTCCTGAGTCGGGCCCCAGTTTCAAATACTGCCGGGGATCCTCCCTTCTCATCTCTTCTCGCCGCATCGCTCTCCAAACCTCTACGCTCATTACTTTTTTGCGACCCTGCGTTTGCTGTTGCTGCCCGTCATCGTCAGCTTTCTCCACATTCTTTAATAAACGTCGGTCCGTTGTTCTAAGCCACACGTCACACGCGGGACTATCACACTCATTGTAATTACGATATTCAACACGAAACAACAGTCAAGATGAAGGCAAACACTATGATGATGGCGTTGGGTGCGCTTGCTATGGGCGCGAGGGCTCAGGATGCTGTTGCGTAAGACATCTCCACAATCCACATCCCCATCTGCCTGATCTCATCCGCAACGCGACTACGACGCGGCTTACCCGCGATAATCACCTCTAGATCCTTGCTAACATGCTGGTAACGCAGGCCCGACGTTCAGCAATCCGTTCTCATGGTCCTCGCTCAGGCGATCCCATCGGATAGCGTAGCATACGCGCTCGCATCGTCCTCTGCATTCGCGGCTGAGATGGCATCGTCTCTCTCCGCTGGCAACACACCAACTTGGTACCAAGCGCTCCCAACGGACGTTCAGAGCCTCTTGCCTCAAATCTACCCTGCTGCCGTTCAAGTTACGCCAACACCGACTCCTACTCCTACGCCATCTTCTAGCGCGTACGTCGTGAAGAGCAGCAGTGTTGTAGAGAGCTCTAGCGCCAAAATTACGCCATACCCAACTGGAATGAACAGCACCATGGTCAAGCCTACCATGAGCGCTACTGGAGGTGCTAGCATCAGTGTAACACTGAGTCCCAGTGACACTGCTTCTTCCACCCCGCCTCCTCCCTTCGAAGGCGCGGCTTCCAGGCTCTCTGTCGGCGCCGGTCTTGGTGCTGCTCTCGTTCTTGGTATGCTCGCTTTGTAGACATACTCTTGTCTACTCCTGCTTTCTACGTTCGTAGCATCAGGCTGCACCAAGGTGTCATGAGTTCACCTGAAGGCATGCATCTTGCAGTAGCCTGTTGCTCGTCTTCACTATAACGTTTCTTTACGACGCGATGCTGTTATTCTTCTGGGCAACGATTCGCAATATACCTTTTTGACTTTTTTTGGATTTGATGAGGGGAGGAAACACTGAACGGGCGGATTGATGGATCTACATGTGATGGCTCTGGCTGTAATGCTTCTGCATCCTGGTTTGCTGGTTTGTCGTTCGAGCGAGCGAGTTTGGTGTTGGTGTTGGTAGATAGTTGTAAATAGCTTAATATTTAATCAGTCGACGCAGTAAATAACGGAGTTGGTAGCCAGGAATGAACGTGACGAAGTGATGGCTGAAACGCTGTACTTAAGTAACGTTCTCCCAGGTCCGTGAGGAGGCGTAAGCAACACGCGTCCTGCTCGTGTTGAGCTGAACCTAGACCCACGCCGGATCCCTTCCACTGACCCACAACAGGACTGTGTTGAGTGAACCGACGTCAACAAGCTCCGAAAATAGAAACATCTCCCCGGAAGACAAGACATGTTCTAGACCTTTTTTTAACGTTCATTCAACAATGATTAGATTTTGAGAACGCTACGTTTGGCAAGACCAAGTCTCAAAGTGTACGATCCTTGTTAAAACTTCCACATGAACAGGTGTTACACTAGCAAGCCTCTTTCTGCTATACATCACCAATATAACAAGCTCAGTAAAATACTCGGTCCCTGTAGCTATCTTTTCTACATGATTCATACTGTTTATTACCTGTCAATGTCTCAACATTTTCTTTTCTCGCTTACTTCCAATCTTGTCTCAATTTGCCCACAGTACACTGCAAGCCTGCTGTATTTCATCAATGACATGAAGGGCGTGTGGCATACAATGCGCAGACTTTCCCGACAGAGAACTTCCAAGACAATGACACCACTTCTTGCAATGGTAATTCTACTTTTAAGCTATCTGATATCCCTCCTTACGATGAAAACTGTTACACGTCTTCAGTCGAGGATATGATAGTAACCTGCGGTCCTTTCTCACTCGCTTGTTCGGCCGTACTCTGCACCTTGTCGTCGTCCTGTGTTGGTCTGCGAACTATACTTGTAACAAGCTTATCATAGATGTTTGCTCCCTGTTGCAATGCCCGATCTACTTCGAGACACCTGTTTGCTCTGTATTCCGCAGGAAGAAACTGTAGAAGAAGCTGTATAACGCCAGCGACGCTAATCGCTAGTGGAATAAACTGGCCGATGGTTTTAGCACAGTCCACGTCCTGAATTCTGTTCCACGATATAGTCAACTCAATTGCAAGAATCACGATGGTGATTGATGCGATTTGAAACGCCATAAAGAAATCCTTCTTCCACTGCTTTGGAGTATGACTGTGCAGCCAGTTAGCACAATCCCAGAGGATGTTGGGGGAGTCATACTCTCGGTTTTCTTCCTTCTTCGATTTAGCTTTCGAAAGGTGTCGGGCATACAAAGCGAACAAGACAACTGTCAGGACTAGCAAAGCCGCCTTCAGGAGGATGTTGAAGATGCGGAAGCCATCGCTGGTCAATCCGAATTTGTAAAAGCCGAACCCGAATCGCTGGCATGTATTTTCTCTTCTTGCAAATTTTGCAACTTTGAATATCCAGAACCACAATTGAAAGCCGATCTGGGCAACTTGGACGAGCCCGAAGGAAAACCAGTGCATCAGGCTTGATTTCGATGACTCGGGTTCGGAAGGGGTAAACACGCGCCAGAGCATTGCGGTCAGCCAAATGTATTGAGAGCCAAATACCAATAACATAGTGATGTATATCTCGGTAATTTCGATGTCCTGGAGAGCAGTCTCAACGACAAGACCGATGAAAGTTGCTGATGTGAAGAAGGCATTTGACGTCCGCAGACCCGGTAGTTCGCTCGGGACGTAACGGGCAGCTATAAGCAAAGATAGCCATTGGAGGTAAGATCCGATTCGAATTCCAAGACCGTACATATCGGAATTGCCGGAGAATTCGCAGATAGTTGCCATCTCGAAGGAAGTTTGCAGCGATGTTTAAGAGTAGTTGGAAGTAAGTGTGTAAGAGAGAGGTATACAGCAGGAAACGATTTCGAAGCAGATACTAGAGCTATTTATCATAGCGGACTGAAGTTGGATCTATGAACATCGTGATCTAGTTCGTGAGCGCGTCTTCAGCTGAGTGTTAGTGTGGCAGCCATTGCACACGAGATGTACAAAAGGTCGTCAGATTCCAATGCAGCATAAGGTCTGGACTTTCTGCTATAGCGAGATAAGAAATGGCGATTGTATCGATGTGGCCGCTGATGTCCTGCATGAACTAGGACTTGCGGGGGAAAAGCGACACTCAGGAAGTTGAAGCGGGCGTATCACAAAGCTTGTCCGACAAGGGTCTGGAAGAGAAGCAAATGCCATCGTACGCTACATGTCTACAGTCACAGTCGAGACCACGAGAGGCATCTTGTAGGTTCAGCTCAAAGGCCGGGCCGCGGGACCAGTTCCTGTCACTACACTAGCCTACCAGCTTTGTAGTATCTGATCAATATCTTCACGGTCGCTTGCTCGCATTTTGGACACACGCTATGACACATCTCCCTTGCCTTGGAGACGACCGAGAATGTGGCGTATGCAAGACATCATGTCACAAAGTCACTGACTTGATCGTTATTGGGGTTACCGCGAAGCGAGCGATCTTTGATAGGGCCAGGCTCTAGCTCGGGTCGCGAACCGAAGAGTTCCGTGGAATTCACGTCCAGTTGTGCGCTAGCGCGGTCTGGCGCTTGTTCGAAGCTTCTGGTCCCACTTTCAGGTGCAGGCTTGTACTGGGCTGCCGTTGCTTATCCTCAAAAGCTTGACTTTCGAGCCAGTTCATCTTGGTGATTCATGTGTGAGCGATGAGGCTCTCCACGTCGTGAACATTGGTTTTATATTACTCCTTCTCTATCTTCTCACTCTTCGCCTGTTCTTCTTACTAGATAACATTACATGAATATTTTTATCTTGCTCACACTCGTACATAGCAGCCTCGCCGACAAAGAAGAAGAGAAATTCGGACGTGCGACGATTCGAACGTCGATCTCTCACAGTCTGCTTCGCCTCACGGAAGCGGTAGCTGACCAAGACGAGTGAAAATTCTCCACGGACCCCGTAGGTCATTATGTGAGTGCCTTGGCCATTAGGTCACACATCCTTTGGTAGTGGTTGTCAGAATCTTGACTATACAGACGATACATGCAGTAGTGCGTTAGTCTAGGAGATAGCTAAGATGCATCAAGGATGAGAGGATTTCCTATGCAATGGAGGGATGATGACCTGTACGGTACCACCTAAGTTCTTGTTACATCCATTGTCATCCATGCAAAAAGAAATAGATAGCTTGAAATACAACGATTCAAACATCAATCTCTCATAGTCCATTATGCTGACTCGGTATAGAACTTGTGGGCAAAGGTGAGCGCTCTTTCATTAAGCTATATGTCTTCGAGTAGTTATTGCTAGTGATTTGACGATTTGGATGAATGCATAATAGCATGTCAGTGTACGAGATAGGCAACATACATCTCGATAGATAGTTCAATACGAGAGATACAGATCAACTCGGATCAGGAATATCATTTTGGTTTTTACAATGCGATTGTCCAATTCGGATGTACTGCCTCGCATATGTTATACACAGCCATAACGTACTGTGCGAAAAGATGTTGGGACCTATCCCAACTTCCCAAAGGTTTCCTTCACAGCTCCCAAAAAGAAACAATATCATGGACATGGTACGAGTCGAACGTACAATCTTCCACGCCAATGAGGCGACGTCGCGTTTCGAGTCAGACCTCCGACTCCCACAACCCGATAGCTGCAGCTAACGACCTTCTGGGTTTATCGTATGATGTGGATGCATTACCATTCAGCCACATGCCCTTAACTGATAGTTGATAGGGTTATAGTAATTTAGATGTTATGTATAAAGTGTACGCAACATCGATCTTACTGTGTCATCGACACCTCACTAAGAACATGAACTGCAAAAGACATAACCAAACAATCTCATGTCCTCTCTCAGAAACAAGTTACGCAAGGTTAGGAGGGAACAATAGCATGAATATGATATGAGCCGACGACACAATCTCTTACAATCAGTTCCTAATCGTGAACTCCAGAAGCATCGAACCCGCCGTAAACCGAGGCGACCAGGGGGTCAGGCGTAAGTATTGTCATCATATTGCCAAAGATAGAAGGTGAGACAAATGCACTTTAGTGCAAATTTGAATATCTACGTATCTACATATCTACATATCTAATCTCATTACCATTAAAAAGCCCCAGAGGGCAAACAACAGGTCATAATCGTAAAGTTCCTCCGCCACGCAACCATTTCCAAGGTCGCAAACCCTCCAGGAACCGTGATCATGACGCTCATCGAAGGCGTGTAGTAGGTATCATCGTCTAAAGCGCGCAAAAACAAAACCTCTGCCGTGATATCATAACAATATAACAGGAAAAAAAGGCATCCTCCAAATGTACACGTGCATGTCGCAATATGCACAAGTCTCTCCTCAGCTCAGCAATCATCCAAAGACTGAGCCTTACGATCGTGATCTAATGAACAACATAAAGAAATTCGTGATCAAGTTCAGCCTAGAAGTACGTATCGGCAACGTCACGTCCACCACGAATGGCCCATTCGACAATTTCCATGCCGCTGAGTCCACTGGCGTAGTACGTCTTCTTCTGGCCTTGAAGCTTGTTAAGCTTACTGTATGCGCCGCTAGAAAGCGCGTTGCCTTCGAAATGCGGGAAGTAATCCCACTTCTTGAAAGCTTTGACGTCGTCCTCGCAAAAGGGCTGGGATGGCTCTGTGGCATTGCGCGGATCCTTGTTGAGCTCAGACAAGCTCTCAACGAGCAGGTTCCGTGCAGCATCCTCGGTTTGGAACTCATAAGGACCCCAGGACCAGGCAACGGAGACATTGGATTCGCGACTCAGGTGAAGAACAGCTACTGGCTCGCCGTCGTTTGGCGGTGGAACCGTATCGTTGGCGCTTTCAGCGATATAGGAGACTCCGAAGGGAAGCTCCAACTCTACCGCGGAAGAGTAGTATTGGTGGGTCGTGATGTTAGCGAAAGTATCATGCTCCTGCTCAGTCAAATCTACGCCAATACGCTCCAAGTTGTCCATGTTTGGTGGGAAGGCGAAGATGACAGAGGAGCATTCCTGCTTCTCCCATGTGACATAGCTGCCATTGGGTGCAGGAGTGGTGTATGTCAAGATAGGGTGGTCGCCAGACCGATCAACGCAACGGACCTCGGACGAGGTGTGAATGGGCGTCTTACACAGCTGGTTCTTGGCGTACTCGACGAACATCTTGTGGAAATCCATGTAGTATACACTGTGTAGGCCGACAAAGGCCGTGAGGATATCCGGGGCGAAGTACTGCAGGATGTACAGCTAATCACACGTTAGCGTCCTGCATGCGCAATCCCTGCAAGATTTTCTGAGAATGACGTACTGCTGGAACAATGTTGATGTCGCCATAACCATAAAGCGCAACGGGGTTGACAAGGAGAATAGGAAGCGCTGTGAAGTTATTCTGGCGGAACCATTCTGCGCCCGACACGGTGAATTCGTCTGGTACACCATTCTGTTCCTGCATTAGCCTACCGCGCTTTGTGTAACGGCGCATTGCAACGGGTGTCGTACCTTGTAGTTCACAACACTAATCGGTCGGAAGCGCTGATTCCACAGCTGAATGTACCTCGGGATTTCTGCGGATACCTGCGCAGTAAACTGCGGGGTTAGGGTGGGGTTCATGGAAATGTCGCCGGTGGTATAGTTGTAGCGGTACATTTCGCGCGCACCAGCAAGCGCGAAGGGTTCGATGGAGACATTCGTCTGGTTGAGGATGCTGATGGTGTCTGTGTATGTCGCATTCGAGAAGAAGGCGGCGCCGAGTGGGTGGAAGATTCCTCTGGAAGGGTGGTCAGCCGCGTCTAGTGCGCATGGGAAGGCGGATGCTGTGTAACACTTACTGGTCGTCGTACCAAGCCTGGCATTTACCACCAACCTCCGCTTGACGGTCGAACATGACTGCCTTGACACCCTTCTCTTCTAAACGACCGGCAGCAGCCAGACCGGCAGGGCCTGCACCAATGATGCATACCGGGTGCTCTTCACAATTGCATCGACGACCCTGAGGAAGGGCTGATACCGTGCGCAATGAAAAGGCAAGCAGTGGTAGTACTAGCGTCGACCACATTTTTGGAGACTTGGATGGGGATTGTATGAACGAAGAATGGAGACAGCAGATCTTTTAGGGAAGCGACGAAGTAGCTACAGCTTATAATAGCTGCGACGCGTCTTCAGGTCCCTGCATCCTTTCGGGTCTATGACTTTCTCGTTTGCAAGTAACTATGAGGAGGGCGAGCTGGGCAGGCGCTGCACGGTGCGTTGGCATTAAACGGCAAAGAGCAAGGCTAGCACCCCGACCTGAAGCCAGATGGGCGATTTGCAAGCCTCATCAGGCCCGAAGGAGCATCAATGAGGTAAGTTTGAACGGGCAACGGTCGTGCGGCGAAGCACTGGCGCCCGCTGTGACGCTTTAGACGAGGGTCTGCAACTTGAAGCGTTGGTTTTTATTAATTTTCACCCCTGGCATAATCGTAGTCCAGGTAACCGCCGCCGTATCTGAGGGCTGCCTTTTACAGTGCCGCTGAGATGCGTTTCTCGAAGCGCATCGGATACTCGCAATCGCTAAAATCACACTGCAGGCGCTAGAAGCGGTGAACAGCTGTCTGCAGATGTCATGCTGCAGAGCGTATGCGGTCTGTCTCTGGTGCCGCTCAATTGGTGCCGAGGTTTGGCCTTCAGCCCTGCCACTAGTTTCCAAGCCACCGTTTGAGGCCCAGCCGCCCACACAATCGGGAGTGGTTCCTGACTCTTGAAAAAGCTCTCCTGCCCGACTCAATTGCAGGTGCGCTCGCTGTGTGAGACGTCGCAGTTCCGGTGTTAGGACCGGGCCATGATTCGGTATCCAAGGCCGTTGCGCCATATGCCCGTATACATTGCGGCGTGGACGTCATACTGAGGCGATCATGTCTCTGCGCTGGCCTCTCCGTGAGCCTGACAGCTCACCATCCCGCTCAGGGCGATGACATTTTAAGCCTTGAGGAGACCGAAATTGCGACCGCAGTAGAAGTTTCGTAGAACAACGAGGCAAGTTGGCAGAGTGACATCATATGCGCTGCACAGACCGACCGCCAGCCCAAAGTTCGCAAGCCAAAGAGATGAGTTCAGGGTCCAGCTGAGGCAGAACAAAAGCAAAGAGCTGTCGTCGCACCATGCTTCGACACTCCACACCACCAGAATGTCTGTTCATCTCGACGATGTTTGTTGCGCGCGGCATGACGAAGAAGCCCCCGATTAAATGATCTCACCGCATGATGACTGCTTCGGGAGTATACATCCACGAAATGAATTTGCCCGAAAGTAAAGCAGCAGGCGGCAAACGACCTCCGAATGGTCTGCTTCGGGTCCGAATATTGGAAGGAAGACAATGCGAAAACGCGACAATCAGCCCACCGTCACCTTCAACCGGTGGCGCAGTCTACGCGAGACGCAAAAAGAAGCAGCGGCATGGTTGTTGCGTGTCGCGTGGGAACACCTCAACAACGAGCCAATCGTAGCCCAAACATAAAAGAAGGGACAGCCAGAGGAATGTTTGAAATCGTGTTATTCGCTATCGTGCTCGACGCTTTTTGAACGAAGAGAAAAAGAAGCTGCTGCTAAGAGCGCGACTCGCTAAACCTGAGAAATCCGCCCAGTTGTCGTATCCGACGGGTATTGACAAGAAAGAGAAAAGAAAGTGCTACGGTGAGCTGAGGTGAGTTGCGTAGAAGGTGCCCTTTGTGGGTCTACCAGCTACTGGACGTTGGAACATCGCTCGCTGAACGGATGTGCATATTAGACTAAGAGATAATGGAAAATACTGCGCCACGCGATCAGTACATGAAAGCTTTTTGCTGCTCTATATCGATATCAAACCGACTCTTATCGGTATCGCCGCTCATTGGTCGTTCCGAGAGGGGACGGTAATGCACCGGAGCAATGGCGGTCCCGGGCCGCGTCTCATCGTTGTCCGTGAGTTTTCGGGTATCCATCTCGACTTGGTCGATGACAGGGGTAATCTTTTCCTTCCTTTTGCTGCTCTGCGAGTTGTTGCCGTACTTGGAACCCTGCGCTCTTGCCCGGTGGGGGAAGAGTAATGGCTTGAGCGCTGGGATACACCCGCAGATGACACCGACGTTTGTTTCAACGGCGGTCCAAAGCCAGATCTGGTATCCTTCCCAAGTGGAGTCATATGTCTCGAAGAGTGTGTAGTGGACCCAGTAGGCTCGGAAGCTGCTCGCAACGACAATGACGCCACCGACGGAGAAGAGAACGACAAGGCCGACGCGTTGAGTCCATGGTAGCGAGAGTGTGAATAGCGTAGGGATCGGAAGTGCGTAGATCATAAAGTCGGTCACCACGTTGAGTACACTTTGGACGACTAGTGGTGGTCCCTCAGGAATGCAGTCACGGTGGTCGGCTTTGAGCTCCCAGTAGCTGGAGATTGGACTAAACTTGTCAGCACTAGAATGGCTTGAACACGTGCGTATACATACATGCATTGTACCCAGAGTGCAACTAGGAAGACAACAAAGGCGGCGAATACAAGCGCAAAGGTTGCCCAGACGAGCTTGCGGAACAGTGACTTTTCTGGTGCGATGCGAAAGTACGATACGAGGATAGACATCTTGACCGTGGAAGAAGCAAGGACGAATAATGTCTGACCTGCCATGGATGCCTAGGGCCGTCAACATCAGCTTGTGGTGGTACGGTTGCACACTGTCGTACCTGTCTACCAACCATCATCTCGTGCGGTGTGAGGTCCCAAACGTGGCGATCCCAACCATAGAGTTGGGATGCCATAATGACAATGACTGTTGTGCCTGTATCGAATGTTAGATGATGAAGTTTCGGAACGAGATCGACTTGCGTACCGATGCTGAAGACCATTGCCACAATCATAAGGTAGTCGTCATACCAGCTCTTCTTCAACCATGCTATCCGTACCCAAAGTCGGAGAAATACAACAATCATAGCAATCGGTAATAGTGTCAACTCGACTATCATCAAACCCGAACCCCTCGTGGTCGGGTCGACGTAGTTCGGCTTGGGCCATGTCGCAAGGACCTCGGGCGGCGGGGACCTCATCGTGATGGCGTATGTGTTTCGGAAACCGTCAACGTATGTTAATCGGTAGGTGTATAAGACTGAGGAACGAGCGTCACCAGCGTTCAAAGAGCACGGGACTGGGAATGGACAGGAATATAACCATTAACTCAGGGCGAGCCAGATCTCCACCCATATGCTCCAGCTGCGCCGTGCACGAAGGCTCGAATACAAGTGGGACTTGGCCATCGTTGGGAAGCATGGTATGCCAGTGTACACAAAGCTCATCTGCGCAGTACCATTGGGAGCGCTGCACGGGAGCTCCGTTGCGGGTACGGAATAGTGTCGGTTTCGCCCGCAGGGGTCCAGGTACCAGCGACATCCGTAGTCCTTCAGCTCGCACCGTGACTGGTACAAAAGACAAGTGAAGTGTGGATAATTGACCAGTAGCCAGGAGCTGACTGTGGAGCGTTGATGTGACCGGGTTCAGGCAACTTGTTGCTGCGGCTCATCAGTGGATAGAGCGAGATTCCACGCTTAGCCAATCGCTTTGTCCATGCCGGGGTAGCTGGAAAGTAGTACCGGAGCCGGCGTCTGGACGTTTTGCCGCAGCTCAACTTGATTTGGAGGCCGGAAAATGAGCCGATACTTTGGGATAACAGCGGCGTCATCTAGATTACTGCATTCTGTCAAGCCATAATGCTATTTTTCCCACGATAGCGCGATTGTCGCGTGTCGTCGATGAAGAATCAAAGGGTCCAGCGTTGAGATTTGCCTGTCGTGGCGAAGCGCGCCTCGGATCGCCCGCCTGCCAGCAGGGGCCACCCCCGGTCTCGTCTATCTCAACAACGAATAACCTCACCGCATCACACGTATGTGTGATCCGCCTTCGCGATGCGCGAAATCCTGCGGCTGCGGGTTCTGGAGGACGCCAGTTGAAGTCTCCGCTCTCTCGTGGCTTGCAATACTCCGCCCGCCTCTATTCCACATTACCTACTCGCCGTCGAATGCTAGCTGTCTAGTCCATGGTGACGTCTCGTCTTCGGTACCACATTCCCAGTGTTTGTCGTCAGCACGTTCTGTCTTTCATGTAGGAAGCCACAGTAAGCGGTATCCCCGTTCTAGCTTACCCTCAGGTACACACGGCTGCTGGTATCCAGGCTCACGCGATCCATCTTATGAGACATGTTAAGACCAGGTTTGCTTACGCGGGCGCATCGGACGGCATCTATTTGCGCCACGCAGAAACTTCGAGTTGGAGGTACGGGTACGAAGGCCTCGATCTCACCTGCCAATTTAGATGCCTGGTCCTGGTCTTCCAAAATCTTCATCCCTCTTCCTTGCAAAGATCACCCTTTCGAAACCGCTTCCCCGGCCAGAATTTCCTGGCCTTTGGGACTGGCCACTGCAGTCAGCCGTTACGTACTTCCACCGTCAAAACACTAATGCTCCTTCCGCGGCTGTGCTCCACTCCCTGGAGGTATGTAGCTCATTTACCGACATGCACGCGACGCCTTGGTGTACCTACGGTTTCCGTGCTCGCTCGTTGGCAACGGTTTTACTTCTTCAGCTCCACAAGTATTGGCTACCAAAAACCACACCCACAGCACGGGTTCTTCTCCTATCTATCCCTATTGGCAATGCGTGGGTCCAGTGGTGTGGGGTACGGCCTGGAATTAAAGACCCGCTAACCTCAGCGGCTAAGCATCAAAGCTTCTCCTTCCCGTCTGGTCTCACTTATCGCATACGATTGGATGTCCACAACATGTCCAAGCTGATCGATATCCGCTTTCGTCGCTCAACATATCGTCGACTCCTCGGAAGAATCTTTTGATTGCACCATGTCAGGCCTAATCGAGAGCATCACATAATCACCCCCATTCCAACGGATAGGGCTCGACTGATATACCAGTGCGGAACCGCTTCCCATTGACCAGCTATTGGCCCTAGTATCACACCGTTGGAGACTACACTGTCCTCGATGAGGGATGTCCCTCTCATCGAGGACGTGACAGCTAAACATGATCGCAAGATGGCCAGAAGTATGTTCACTGTGTTCGCCCTGATCAAGAATTGTCATGACCATCGAGTCAGATCGACAACGCAATCTTGGTTAGCTACATCTTTATGAAATTCTCCGCAGACGGCGTCAACTATATCGGCTCGAGATGCCCTAGCCCGTGCAATTGCCACGCGGAAGGGTATGCGAGGCCGCACGTACCTCAGCGTGCTGACTCTTACCAGTCTTCCTAGACGTCAGCGAATGATTACACGATACGACGTGACGAACTTCTACGCCAACCCATCTCGCCTTCCCTGGTCAAGCCAGTCGACCCACGTCGCCGATGATGATGAAGCCACAGTCATCAGCGATATACCATGGCGACCTGCATCGAGACCTGAGCACTGATATCGCGTTCGTCATCCGATGCCCAGGTACCCACGATGACTTGCAGTTCATCACGTCGTCACGCCATCGGCAGTTCTTCCGCGTCAAGGTCATGGATTTGATTGCCCGGAAGCCTGTGTTCATATCTTTCTTAGCTTCTCGTTACATTCGACCGAGCGGTTATATCAATCTAACAACGGACTACTCTAACTAATCATGGAGATACATACTTTGGCGACCTCACAGCTAACACTGTCGACTTCAACTTTCCACTTAGCGTCTCCTCTCCGATCCTGCACCCTACACAAGATCGTCAGGGAAACTCGCATACCCGTGCTGATCCAGTGTTGCGCACTGGGTGTTGCCCCGGACCCCCCGATCATACACACTCTATTGTAAAGAAGAAACAACGCAAGCTTAAGAATAACAAACTCTCTACGTTCGTTGCAACCTGATGACGCAGTATGTACGATTGCCAAAAGGAGGCACATTCACGCGATAGGGAGATCGAAGATTATTGTTCTCTTGGCATGGTCACATCGCACTTGATACCCGTACTACTTTGGCGTGGTAATAGTGATCGACGAAAGTTTGCTAAGATCTTGTCTCCTTCTTTTCTCGAACATTCAGCTTATGTTCTTTCCTTTGTTTTGCTACCCCACGGTTCGGGCGCGCTGACGCCGAGAGGAAAAGGAAAGAGACACAAGCGAGAAGTGCCACAACGGAGATGCCACGAGGCAGATGTGAAGAGGGTGTACGACTAATGTAATGAATTGCTAGCCTTATCGTAAAAGGAAACTGAACGCGTAATTAGTTTGTTGATGCATCTTGAATGATGTTGTACAAACACAACACTACGAATGCTAATTAATCCACAACGTTTCTGCCTAGCAACCTCACCTACGCCCTCTTCTTAATGATGTCTGCTGCCTTCTCCGCGACTGCATACATGGTAGCCTGTAAATGCGTTGCTGGAATCATCGGAATAATGCTTGCATCCACAACACTCAATCCCTTCACCCCGTAAACTAACAGCTCATCACTGACGCATCCACCTAGCTCCTCAGGCATCATGCTGCATCCACCACTCGGATGCGCAAACGTCGGTTGAAGCGAACCCGAAGTAATGCCGCCCTGGATGATTTCTTCATCGGTCTGGTATTGAGGGCCAGGCGCCGTCTCTACGGGCTTGTATTGTGCGAGTTCCTTGGACGCCCAGTGTACGCGGTTGTATCGCGTAAGGGCTACCATGACATCTGCGTCAACGGGGTTCTGGAATGTGTTCCATTGGACGATGGGGTAGGCGGCGGGATGTGTGTTGTTGAGTGTGATGGTTCCTCGTGACAGGGGCTTGTTGTTTGCGATACCGGAGAAGCCCCAGGGCTGGATAACAATCTCACCTACGGCGGCGTCGGTGCCCGAGAACTGCTTGGCGAGGATGTCGCGCTGCTTTTTGAAGCCAGCGAGAAGCTTTTTGTCTTTGGCATAGCGCTCGGGGAGAAAATCGGAAGCTACTTGAGATCGCATCTTGGCTACAGTTTTCTTGAAAGCAGAATCGAAGTGTTGTAGTGCGATGAAGACGAGGCCATGGGCTTTACCGACAGAGTAAGGACCGGTACGTGACTTCAGGTACTGGTCGTAGGAGGTCTGGTTGAAGGCTGCATCCGTGTTGAGGGCACCCTGGTTTTCAGGGTTCAGATTCTGCAAGTCGAAGTTCATGTAGTTGGCGATGTGGTCTTGGAAGTTGGAGCCCACAGCTGGAAGATCCTTTTTAACGGCGACATTAGCAGCTGCAAGAACGTCCTTGGGTCCGATTCCGGAGTACATGAGCAAGTGCGGCGTGAACACACCACCGGCGGCCAGAATGACCTCCTTGGCAGCAATAGCTTGAACTTGCTTGTTGGTATTCTTGAGTGTGTATTTGACACCGGTGGCGGTCAGAACACCTACTCTGTTCTTCGAGAAAGTGATTTCATCGACATGAGTGTTTGTCAGAAGCTTCAAGTTCTTTCTCGATACTACTGGATCGTAGTACGCAGTGCGCGATGTGCTGCGCATAGCCGTCGCTTTGTTGATCGAGTTCGGCGACCAATAATGACCGACGGGCTCTGCAAAGCCTTCTTGCGGATGCGGAATATCGACGTTATCCCAAGCGTGGTAGATCGTCTTCATATCCGGGAACTGATAATCCGGTATAGATACCTTGAGTGGTCCCTTACCGTACGCCTTGTCATCGTAGGTGATACCAAAAGCCTTGGTCGTATTCTTGGATGGCGCATCGAAGTCGTTGCTCTTCATGAAGTACGGCTTCAACCCCTTCCAATCCCATCCTTTGTTTCCAAGCTGACCCCATGCATCGTAGTCAGCATCGGCACCTCTATCAAACTGCATTCCATTCACAAAGGATCCGCCGCCGACGACATTGCCAACTGTTACCAGGAAAGTTTGGTTGCCAAGGTTTGGGACGGGTGCGCTGTATATGTCGTACATGGCAGCAAGGTTAAGACCGCCAGAGTTACCGGGAAAGCTAGATAGGGTGCTGTTGCTAAGGGCGCCATTCTCGATCACCAAAACAGACTCTGCGGCAAATTGTCATCAGTTTCGGTGCTCGTGAGGCGACTCTCGATCGTGTGGTACGTACTCTTCGGGTCCTCGCTTAGTCTGTTCGCAACAACCAGGCCTGTGGTGCCTCCACCGGCAATAACATAGTCGTATGTGGTTTGGGCTGAGGCGACTGCGAAAACGGCAGCACCAAAGAATGAAGGGACAGTGAACGAATGCATCTCTAGCTGAGTACAAGGTAAATGATAGACACCACACAAGCAAGGTTGCTCTCCAACCGGACCGATCACCGCTGATTGCAAAATTAAACGATTGACTGTGCAGAAGATAGCATGAGGCTCTCCAAGCAACACTTAAGAGTTTCTCAAAGGGCAGTCGCTAAACAAGATCCTCGCACGTGGCAAAGTCTGGGCCTTTGACATCCATCGAAGTTCGGACGCATGTTCATCTGCCGGCCTTGCAGTAGGATGGGCGAACAGCCCGCGTTTTCGAGCGAGGGATTTGGGCGGAAGGCCGGGTCAGCACATGGTGCGTGTCAAGCATCGGAGGGAATACACCGGAGAGAATGCTGATGGGTAATTGACGGGACGGGACATTACTAGTCATGATGGTTGATAACTCGATGTACCAACGGCATGGAAACCAGGGTCCACGGGTCATCCAGGGCCGTGTCCACGCGTAACGGGCGACGGAAGCTACGAGGCGGTTCGGCGCGTGAAGGTTCAACGCTACCATTTGGTTCTGCTTCCCAGACGCAACGATGTTCATTGTTTTGTCTTACTCATGAGATTCTGATAGTTGCTGCGAGATAGGTATTTTTCGCGGTCTTGGTATGCTGCCCAGAGGGCTGGGTTTCCTCCACAGCTGATTAGGTATAGCGCTGTCGCCACCCACGCGGGCCAAATCCCACCCGATAAGTCCTGCCGAGCCGCTTCGCCAGGTACGGGAATCAACTCCATTTGTAGAGGTTGACATCCCGCTTGTCCCCTACGCAGTCTGTTCTATGTAGACTCAGAGCATCACACAAGCAGTGCAATCGAGCCTTCCAGGACAGCGTAACGATCGAACCATCTGCGACTGACGCTTTCCTTTGCTCCTTCGAGGGAAACATGTTCGCACAGCGAACTTTGGTTATACTACCCACATATGCTGACGTCTCATCTGCAGGATTCAGCCACCTGCTTGAAAAGGCAATTGAGTGTTGTAGGGGCTTCGCTGCCCAGACGGTAGTTGCATGAGCACAGGCTTATGGAAGGATTAGAGATTGCCATACCCTACAAAATACCTGCTTTCTTTCTTAGCAGTCTTATCCCGTACATTTCGTATTCATTTCCAGGAATAATCCCGCGAATGAGAGTTGGTCTCCAAAAATTCGCGTGCGGCAGCGCGCCGGCTCCTTGGTCTGAAGGAATGGGCCGAGCTGATTAGATCCCACGCAACAGAGTCTTTAAGATGACGAGAAACTGGGAAGTTGTGTGGAATTGAGTGACTGGAGTGGAGGCCTCGTACCGGTGCATCCAGGAGCCGTCCCCATCTGCAAGTCCGCGTAGGCGAATTTCTTCCTTCAGGATTTCGAACCATTGTGTCGGTCTTTTTTGCGATAACTACTCTGATACATGGTAGATATGTAATTTTTGCCACTTGTTTCTATCCCTTGAATACTCTTCATTCACACTGCTTTATGAACGCCTCACAGTGATCTACTCTAAGAGAACTACCCATCATTCCGCAATGGCCGATTCACCTTCCACTGAAGAATGGCCCAATCGAGGACATGAGCTCATAGTGACTGCCTCAACCATGGCCACACTCTGCACGTTAGTGGCGGGTTGGCGTATCATTGTTCGAATGCAGGTGAAGCCTTGGTTGGGGATAAGCGACTGGCTTATGATTGGGGGTGTAGTACGTTGGAAGCCAGAGAGTATGACACCACAAGACGACTGACATTGTACAGATTCTCAACTTCCTAGGGTGCGTACCCTATGCCGTCCTTTGTGCAAAAGGCGGCCAAGGTCGCTTGATGGCAGACCCATGGTGGCTTATACCAGGCAACACATCCAAAGAGCTGCACTTGATCTTCATCTCACAGACTCTGAATGTCTACGCAATGTTCTTGGTCAAGGCCTCGATTTGCGCATACCTCATGGCTTTGGACTTCGGACGCAGCTACCGAATTCTCATATGGGTATCGGTAGTTGTTGTAGTCATCTGCAACTTCATTATGATGTTGATATTGCACTTCGCGTACTGCCGACCCTACTACTCTCGGTGGGACTTCTCTGTGCAAGGAGAATGCTGGCCGGAAGCGGTGAGCGAGGTGACGGCGTACGTACAGATCGCATCGAACATCTTTACAGATCTGGTAGGTAACTTGCATACCCTATTTGCGGACAGATACTAACACACGATAGATCTATGCTGCCGGTCCGATCGTCTACCTAAGGCGCGTACAACTCAGCAAGCGGACGCAGTGGGGCGTAAGCATCGTGTTTCTGCTTGCACTTGTGTAAGTAATCTCTGTATCATTACCTGGACACAAGCGCTAATATGGGAAAGTGGAACCGGCCTTTCAGTCGCGAAAACCTTCGTCACGTACAAGTTCCTGCGGTCACAAGAGATGATGTGGGACGCAATCGATTTGAGCATCTGCAGCATCAATGAGGTCTGTGTCGGCATAATCATCGCGAACCTACCACCGCTACGAAAGCACATCCTGGGCCTTTTCTCCAGAGTTCTGCCTGGAAGCTACGCAACCGGTGCTGGCAATTCGCGAAAACAGAATAGCCAGTTTCACCCAGACTCTTCGCGTTTCAGTTCCAGAGGGCGCACTAAGCTGGATAATAAGGATGACGACGAGAGCGAGCGGCATATATTGGAGCTCGAAGACAGGACACAGAGTGTGAAGATCATGAAGACAACGCAAGTGAGCGTTCGAGAAGGGAATGCGCACTCGCAGACGCCATCGTTGAATGAGCATTTCTGAGATTTTGGACTCGTCTGTCTCGTGTGTAGACTCGATTGGATGCGATGTTCTAGGCGTACAAGATACCAATAGTGCGTCACCATATCTTATACCTTTTCACTCTTGCTTACGTTCTCTTGCGACTCGTGAATTGTTTGTGGCTGGTTGGCGTATCGCTGCACTGGGCATCGGACCGATACCGGAACCCCGGGCTCTTTTGATGAGCTGAGCTTTGCTTGTTTCAAGCTCGATACTGTCCAAAATACGCCCATGCCAATCTTTTTTCTCCTATGAAACAAGCAAATATTCCTGTCAGTACGGCAAGGATGGGATATCCGCCAGAGGTGGTCGCTAACAAGCGCTTGTTAGATGGAAACAAACCCCGTAAACCACTGTTTCGATCATGTACCAACGGACGAGCAGAAGGCTCGGCGCAAGCATCCAGCATCCCGTGTTCGTATCTAAGCTCATAGGTGAATCACGAGTCGGTGTTGCGCACATTGAACTAGAGCGATGTTCTTTCTGGGATCTCTGTAGGCGAGACAGGAGTGCGGGGATGGAACCTTCATCACCTAGCGGAGTCTGAGGGCACGCGATAGTACCTATTCCCGATGAGGAAGCAGCACCTAGGTATGTTCCTGCCCTTCGCAAATTTCAGAGTTTCAGGGCGTCCATAGGTGAGCATGAGACTTTTCGTCATATAATCATCGTACGCTCGTCTCGCCTCGCTTCATCCTGCCCCTGCGTTTGTCTTCCATCTCCATCGCATATCCGAGCCAGAAAATATACCACGCATTGCGTGGATGTACCTCATTCCCATAAGCTTCTGATGAAGCGCACACGCGACCAGCTAAGACCTCACAAGCCTCTGCATCTAGATCTATCTCTGTTAATTTCCATGGTTCTACCCTGCTGCGCATTTCCATTGTCACCGAACGCGAAACCTAGAGTCAGCGCACTAGGCATTTCCCCAGCATCAGCAATCCCTTCATATACGAGCAAAGCGTGCGTACCTGTCACTTCGCGCAGCCGGGTGAACGGGAATCGTGCATTTGCTAGGATACGACCCCGTTCTTCACGGCGTCGGATTTTCTCCGCCAGACACCATCCATGACGTACCCGTGGACTTTTACTGTACCGATTGGTGGAAATCCTTCAACACAAACGTTGCAGGCTACCCCATACTATCCACTCTGCACCCACAAGCCACGAAAGGAAATTATGGGGTAGAAGTCCGGTGAACCGTCGTCTGGATGGCATGTAATCTAGAGAAGGAGAAGATCGGGGGATATAGTTCCAGAGTATAAAGGTAGTATACATCCTTCGTCAAGTCGGACCAGGAAAGTCGGCTTTAATCATTTCATTCCATTTTCTTCAATTCCAACTCGACAGCGACGTCTTTTCTGAACCTTCAAAATGCATCTCCCCACAACACTCACCTACATCTCCCTCGTCGCCACCTCAGCCTTTGCCCTCCCAAAGGCCACAAAACCCCCATACTTCATCCTCGCTGGCGACTCAACAACAGCCGTACAGTCTGAGGGCGGCGGTGGCTGGGGCACCGGCTTCCTGACTACAACCCTCACAAGTGGCGCCTCAGGCGTCAACTATGGTCACAATGGCGCAACAACAGTCTCCTTCCGTCAAGGCGGCGACTGGGCGACCGTCCTCGCCTCCGCAAAGAACGCCTCAAAGAACTACACACCCTACGTGACCATCCAATTTGGCCACAACGATCAGAAACCCGACAAGAACATCAGCGCGGCACAACTCACCACCAACCTCGTCGCTTTCGTCGACGAAGCCAAGAAAGCAGGCGCCACACCCATCCTCGTTACGTCTTTGAGCCGCCGCAAGTACGGCACTGACGGAAAAATCAAGCCAGACTTGGCCGATGTAGTTGCAGCGGCGAAGAATGCGGCGGCCGAGTCGGGCGCTGATATTATTGATTTGAATGCGGCGAGTACCAAGTATTTGAATGCGATTGGTCCGGAGAAGGCGCCTACATATGACCTCAAGGCTGGTGATAGCACGCATTTGAACGCGGAGGGGAGTGTTGTGTTTGGAAACCTAGTGGCTATGCTGATCAAGAAGGAGGTACCAGCTGTGAGCAAGTACCTTAAGCCGGTCAAGGCTGTGCAGAGTGCGCTGGAGAAGGGTATTTACATCTTCCCCAAAGTTTAGGAACGGAAGAGAAGAATGAATAAGCCATATCCTTGACTTCTTTTTGTACATGTGTTATGATACAATACTAACGGTTCGTTTCCTTTGACCAAACGGAACGACGTTACTTTCCAACTTTCGATGATATGCTCTCCTTGACTTCTTTGATTCCTTCTTTCGCCATGGCACCAACATCAACTGTCTTGCCATCCACACCAGCTTTCTCCTGGACACCCTGCTGCACAGCACCACCCTCTCTGTTCAAGAAAGATGGTCTGTCCTGCCAGCCATTCGCTCGCAAATAGCCAGCGGTAGCCATGCCAACGAACATGCCGCCAAAATGACTAGCATGGTCCATAGTAGAGTTACCTTTCTTCAACGCGGAGAAGATTTCAAACACGACAAACGCAGCGAACAGCATCTTGGGCCAAAACGCCACCTCGCCCTCCTTTAAGAAAGGAATCTTGATCCTCTCTTGATCGGTAAGGAGACAGTACAGCGCCGCGATGCCCCAAATGGCCGCGGACGCACCAACAGAGTGCGCGGTGATATTTCCGCGACCAAGGTTAGCCCAGTACAAGGAGAACAAAGTACCGACAGCGCCGGCTGAAATGTACGTTCCCATGAAGACACCACGGCCAACGAGGTCGCAGCATGCAGGCCCGACTAGACACAACATCATCATGTTTGCGAGGAGATGCTCGTACTGCACGTGACTAAAGACGTTGAGGACGCTTTGGACAGCACGGGGGTAGCCGGGGACGTGCATGAAGTAGCGGGTCATGAGTGGCCAGAGGGGCATGACACGCCATGCTACTGCAACAGCAGCGTTTATGACGAGGAGCGCGCCAATAGTGGCGGTTGTTGGACTGAGGTCTGGGAACATGCGGTACGAGGGTGAAGGCGGGGCGTAGTAATGTGCGAAGCCGTAGCAGACGAGGACGGTGAGGAGGACGAAGGCAGACATGGGGTAGAGACGTTGCGCCTGTAGTATTGTCAGCAATGTACAAGGATAGGAGAAGAGGGAGAGGATAAACTCACGAGAGTAGTTTGTGCCAGCAATTCCTCTGGCGTCTTTGCATCCGTTACTTGGGCAGCCTTGTTGTATTTCTCCATCTCCTCTTTCCTCCGACTGACTTGTTCGCGGCCGAAGACATCAACATAAGCCGTTTGACCGGGCTTCATAAGCTGTGTACCAGTCGGCGTACGCACATACTCTCCGGTCGCCAGCTTCTCTTCCATTTCCCTCTCCTTCTGCTCCTTCTCTTCTGCTATCCGTGTAATCTCCTCCAATCGCTGTCTCCTCTTCTCCTCAATGTTGAGCTCAAACTGACTCTTGCCCGCATGCAGTATACCAATCTTCCGATCGTCAGCTTCCTGGCGTTGCCTCTCGGCCTCTTCCTTCTCCATCTGCTCTTTGAAGGCACGAGCGGGATCCTTGTATTTGGACTCGGTTTCTGGGTCAGCCAGCCAGAGCTCGTAGGCTATGCGGTTTGCCTCTTTCTCTGCCCATTCTTCTGCTGCACGCGCTTCGTCGATGGGGTATTTCTCTCGCAACCACTCCAGGCCCTTCAATGCAGTATCCCTGCTCACGTGTGTGTATTGCTTGCCCAGGTTATCCACGCCATAGTCGGCTAGTGAGCCTGCTGTCCGTCGGTGGTGCAGTATCCGCAGAACGTTGTTGCCATCGTGGGCTGATAATCTTCGCCCGAATACGCGTTGTATGGTTGCTTCACTGACTGGACCTTCGGGCAGAGGACCTATCCTAACTGTGCGCTTGCGTGATTGGGGAATGCTCGGGTTCTGTGGCGTATCTATAACCCTTGCCCGATAGCGGGGTGTTGAGACAAAGGAACGGCATTGCGGTCGTGAGGATCGGTGTCGTTGTAGGAGGGCTAACAAGGGCGACCTCACGGTTTGCTCGGGATGCGGTTGCGCAGTGCAGAGTCGCCGCGCGAGTGATGCGCACGTCGGTCGGAGGAGAGACATTGGGTAGCTGGATATGGGCTACCTTACGATTTTCGTTTCACCAGCCGTGTTCGCTGGAGCCGAGCAATGCATGATACGCACGTCGTGGGGTTTGACGCGCCACATGCATGATGCTCATCGCCAAAATGTTCCGTCGGAACTCGGACATGCACAGACACTCCCTCACCCGCTTGTTCACGCTAAACCTGCAAGCTGATCATCATTCAACTTATCTCGGATAACACATTTACAGCTTGAATCCTGGGTATATACTTCTACATGTTCGTAAGCTTGTGTTCAAGCCATCTTCCATCAACTCTTCCCGAGTGTCTTCATCTTCGCCAACACTCCCATGTTCATGCCCACGATCAGCTTGACCAACTCCCAGTCCCCATGTTCACCCACATGGTCCATAACAACAACACCCGTACTACCATCACCACTCTTTGCCCTCTTTATCCCCTTCTCTTCCCCTTCGTCTGTCACATCCGGGTGGCGGGACGTTGTGTTAGGAGCCTCCAAATGATGCCCCTCACAAAGCCATTCCTCCATACCCCTGTTGACAATTTTAGAGATAGCTCCAGGCCAACAGGATTTCTTCCAGAAGTTGCTTCCAGAGAGAAAATTAAGATACAAGGGACCTGGTGGCACTGGATTTGTGACGTCTGTTGTTATGCCAGGAATAGGGTGGATGGCAGCAGCAGAGCGCACAAGATGGTCGTTGCAATGCTGCATCTTCGTTGGAATAATGTCGGGTACCATGACCTCGCAGAAATCTTGCAGACAAAAGGTTGGTGAAGAAGATTGCGATGGGAAGACGGCGTGAGTTGCGTTATGCGGCCATGCCGTTGCATCCAGGCCACCGTTCCTACAATCCGGGCTCGAATAAGAGTTCTCAATCTGAGCTACATTGTACCGCCGCACCAAAACCAGCTTGCTTCTCACAGCTCCCAAGTACGGTATCGCGTTTTCCGTATACCAGTGACGCGCATTGGGTGTGATGTACTGCTCTTCTAGAACGCGGGCAAGGTGTTCGTCCGTTGCGCTTCCTACCCCTTCTCGTTTCAGACTTACTAGCACCGTTTCGCTAGGATTCTCTCGAAGGAAGTCATAGCATGTCTTCAAGATCGGCTCGAGGTACTTTGGCCCTGTCAGGCTGACTGGGAATGCACCGTGTACGAGGTAGAGGTCTTTCTTCGATGCATCTGTAGCATGCGTTGGCTGCACCCGTATATCCAGGAATCGAATACCGTTCTCCAGCTGTGTCTTTACATCGTGAACTTGGCAACGAACAGATGGGAGAGCTCGGTAGTGTGTGTGCGAATTGTGCGTTCCTGGGATGCTTATAGCCGATAACGGTAGGTCATCTGGCAATGTGGACATCCAAGAAGTGTAGTCTGGAAGGTGATTGACATGAATGGAGAGATGAGGAACCGGTTTCGATGGGTGGAAGAGTGCTTTATACGTCGTTGAGGAGATTCCGGACAGTGGGGTGAAGGACTGTGTAGATTTCTGCGTGTATGAAGGGTGCGCATCGATACGATGACGTTCACCATGGGATGTCCGAACCGTGATACGAAGGGTTGGATTTGAAATATTAGACGTATTGCTGGACTGCTCCGAGTCTGGGAATCTTAGCGTGTACGACTCAAAGGGCTGCAACAGAATATCAAGGTCTTGATGATTGAAGCTTTGCGCATGTCCGCTGAGCTCAGGTGAAGTCGGTGCGGCGGAAGTGGAATTTTGACTGCCGAGGAAATATCCGCTTGGTTTGGACTGAAGCGTGCTTGGGTCTTCAAATCGCTCAACACGCTGAATCGTGATGCTGACGGGGGTCAAATTACGAACGGTAAGTGGCGGAGCCATAAGCGGCTATCCCTAGTTCTTGCTCGCTGAACTATGTTGAAGGCCGTAGCACTGCAAGCTTGGGATCAAGGGCTTTCAAGACACGTTGGCGTATGTAGATGTTGGCCAGCTTAGGATGTCAATTGTAAGCACTTTCAGATCAGTAAATCTGGACCGCTAACAGTGATTGGAGATTCACACGATATGGAGTTGGAATTGAAGGGTAAGCTCCTGTTTCGCTAGAACGTAGCTGCGTGAAAGACGAAAGGTTGAGAAGTTGTCGTCAGCCAATGTGCACAGGCCGAACCAAGCGCCAAGGCTCCATATCGGGAAGGCGCGCATTGGAGGCGCGATATTTGAGGCACAACCTAAGGCCCATCAGTGCCACGCATATTTCGAGGTCAAAGATCCAAAGTACTACAAGGTTTCATTGAGCTGTTGACATTATTACATAGGAACCGGTTCATCATCAACAGATCAACACATCATAACAGCAAACATCTCGTATTCGTCAAGGATATCAATCGAGGCCTAAGCCATAAACTATCATTTGAATCACTATCTTGGATGTAAAAAGGATGCCACAGCACCCGGACCTGCCTTTGTTGGGGGTCCTCCTGGGTATCATGCAGTCAAAAGGTAAGATATGCATGTCCAACAATGAGAAAAGTACTGGTACATCTGTTATCTCATCCGTACACTCCAGCAAACGCCTCTTATGCAATGTATTGCGCATACGAATGCGACGTCTGCTTGTGAAAGGTAATTCACTAACGCCGAAAAATGCAATGGTTGCTAGCAAAGAAGGTGATTCATGTTTTTGGGCACAGCACCTGTCGGGCTCTCAATAAGGTGCCGCTGTGCGCTGCCGGATGATCCGGGTCGAGAATCGCAATCTGTCGCTGTCGCATGCGCGAAAGCCATCTCCTCCTGGATTTGAGCACTAGGCGTACGAGCCTTTGTTGGAGTAAAGCTCTCCATCGGTGGTCGCTTTGGTGAGTGATTGTTGCGGCCGTCCGCATTGGATACGGGTTGGAAGACAAAGTCTGACTTTATCTTGGTGAGCCTTGTTGGCTTCCTGGGAGTAGACGGATTTCGTCGCTTCTCGACATGAATCACGTCGCTGACGTTTTCTTTCGGATCTAGTTTAGTTGACGAGTTGAACTTTGACTCGATGATGGTGAGGGCCGGATCGGATCCTTTGGCCACAGGCTTGCCCACAGCTTTGCCTGCAGGTTTGGCGCCGCCCTTGGTAGCCTTGAAGACATTGTTGATGGCGGGGGCCTCTTTCTTGGACTCCTTCTTCGCCTTGCTCTTAGTTGATACTGCCGCCTTCTTTGGCTGTGCCTTCGGCTTCCTTGCAGGTGCCTTGGTAGCGACTTTGCCGAATAAATCCATCTGCGCATCTGCCTTCCTCTTTGTACCTTTCTTCGAGGGCGTGTCTGGCTCCTCTTTGTTGAACGAGAGTGGAAGTATACGTGGACTTTGTCCAGGTGTGAGCTGCCCTGCGTTGCGGAGCACACCAGGTTTCCGAGGAGTGCCAATGATAACCTCTGCTCTTTGCCTCTCTCTAACCTTGTTTAGATCCTCGTCTGTGACTGTCTTATAGTGCATTGGGTCATCCCATCGCCGCATGTTGGCATAACGGGCGACCTCATCGCAGGGTCCTTTCACTACCAGATCCCACTTGTCCTCGAGATCTTTGCCCATCGGCTCAGGGTCATTGTTCAACCATACTGTGACTCCGTCCTTTCGGTCGCGAACAATGTTGCACATCTCGCGAGCTATGCGTCGCACACCAGGAACCTTCAACGTGGTGCCAGCCACGATAACAGCGTCTGGCCTCATGCGCATGTCATAGGACGCACAAGAACCGATAGACTCGTCATCCGGGTTGTGCTCATTGTAGAGGACCATCCGAGGACGTAGGCGACCAATACCGTGACTTCGCTTGTCTGCGAACTGACGAATTTCGTCGTTCTCCACACAGCTCGGGCAGGGTGGCGGGCTGGGTCCCTTGAACTGCTCGGCGTCGAAATCTTTAACTACATGGCATTTGGAGCACACCATGTAATCTAGACCACCATGCACCTGGACAGTCTTGGGCCAAGGCCCCTTCTTAGGCAGGGGAACCTGTGTACTTAGAGGGGGTAAGGAAGTGTCTATGCCGTCGACATTCTGGGTGTAAAGTCGCATTAGACGTCCCTCCTGGGCTAGGGTCGCGAGAAGATGGTGGAAGGCGGTGGGCTCAGCAGCTTTGGTGTGCTGGGATAGTGTGCGCACCATGTCATGGAATGTCGATGTGGACGTGTCATCCTGGTACACAGACGCATCGAAAAGATCCTTGCCAGAGGATTTGAGCCTGTGCTCCTTCTTGAGCGTGTTGAACAGGCCCGTAGCGGATCGGAAGTCGGGAATGCCTGCAGAAACTGAGATGCCTGCACCTGCTATCACCACAATCTTGCGCTTTTTGTGCAAAACGCTCAGTAGGCGCTGCAGCTGTGGCAGCTCTTCTTCTTCCACGCTAGACCCTGAGAGGTCTAGGTACTCTGCCGTACGCTCCTTGGGCTCTGCAGTCTTCCTCCTCTTTGCTGGGCGCGGATTATCGTCGTTGCTGGAAGGTGGAGAAGGCATGTCTTCTGGGGCGGGCGAGGTCTTGGCGGACGAGCGTCGCGAGGAAGACGGGGACATGTATGCACGACGTTGAGCGAAGGATTTGCTAAGCTCGGGCGGTGGAGTGGGCGACCGAGAAAGAATAGAGAGATCTGAATCCGAGATCTCGGTCAAGGGCGAGCTTGGCTCGTTGTTTAGCGTGTTGTATGCCATTGTGAAGGCGCGCGAGGTGAAGGACAATAGGCAGCGGCAGCCGTGGATCGTGAGGAAGGCTCAACGGTGAGCACAAAGCACCTTGCTCCAGGGACACGACGCGTCTGGTGTTACAGAAGTCCTTGCAGCTTGACGAACGTAGTCGAATCGCGCATTAAATTCAGCTTATTTTTCCCAGGTATGCCGCGTGCTGGAGATGTGTGTGTGTGTGTGTGTGTGTGTAGATTGTGGTGGTGTGAAAAGCGTGGGTTGGGGGCTGTCGGTCGTTGCTGCCGTCGCTGCCGTTTGGATCCCCGTAGAGGAAATCCGTCAGATGGAAGAGGTGCGCTAGGCCATTGTGAGGCTCCGAGAAAGCGCGATAATAATAGGACAGGCGCGCGTCCGGGGTAGACGCGTCTGTGTGTGGACGTGAAGGGGTGGGTGGGAGGTGTAAAGAGGTTGGCGGTGGATGCGATGACGGGCGAACGCTGGTTGACCTGGACAACCATGGGCGCCGGGTAGTCATGCCAAGAAAAGAACCTAAACACTCGACATGTTTACGCTTGCGGCACGTCTGTGCTTGACTGATCGATCGGCAGAATCGTTACATTAACACTTGAGAGCTGTGTGCAAGCCGTAGACATGGAGTACAAAGACGAGCTCTGGAGCAAGTCTCCATCTGTCATGCTTCCATTCGGACGGCACGTTATCATGCTCTCCCAGATGCCGTGACAGCCACAGCGCATGCGACCCCTCCCGAGTTCTTAGGGATCGGCGCAATGCGCTTATTAGACCGTGACGATCCTGACATCGTATAGCGGATGGGAGCGCTTCGCATTATGTTTTAAATTCTTGCGATAACCTCCACCGACATTCTGAGAGCGATGACAGCTCGAGATGACGATTGTGCGCGAAGCTCTCACGAACAGCACACCAGATGGAACCGCGCTAGCCATCGTTAGCTCATCGCTTACTGCCGCGAGCTGATCCCAGACAACCGGAGCGCAGCCTCATCAACCTCTGAGACTCTCCGCGTCCGTCACAGTCTTGAATTTTTGTTTTCCGTTTCCTTGTAGTCTCTGTGATACCCGACGACTTGCTCGTCACCACCTTCGTGTTGCGTCTAGTACGGCCTTGTTTGCCAAGCTCTTTCCCATCTCTTATTCTCTCGACTGCTCTCATCTCTCAATCAACCAGTCGCCTGGCATAGCCATCCCACAAACATGGACGGTGCAAGCTACAACATGGACGTGGATGATCTGTTCGGAGACTCAGAACATGTCAACATACAGACGATCAACACAACGCCGCCTGTCAAAGGGCTCGACGGCCGACTCGACGAGCTTGCGTCTATTGGCTGTTGCCAGTAAGTGGGCCGGGGCAAGTCTACTGCCTTGACTAACAAGTGATAGGAAGATAGCCTGGTCCAAGAATGGCTGCGTTGCGTACATAAATCCAGATGGCTACTCTGTCAACCTAAAGATCTTCTCACGCGACCCTGAATCAGGCAAATGGGATCTCGGAAGAAGCGTCCCTCTCGAGCTACCGCAAGGCCGCGAAGTCTTCCCTTTGACCCACTTGTCATGGAGCCACCTAGGCAATGATCTTGCTGTCACGGATGATGCAGGTCGGGTCATGGTCTTCTCATGCGCCATGGCCTTGGACCGCATGCATTTCACCAGAGCCGAAGTAGCTCAGCCAGAGTCTGAAATAGATGCTGTCGTTGGGATGCATTGGCTAGCCATCCTGCCCTACGCACAGAAGGTAAGACTCCTCAGGTATTCAGCAGCGTGGTTCTAATATGCATGCAGAATCTCATCGCTTGGTCAGCTGTGCGAGAAGGAGGCAAATGGAAATGGAACATCAAACAACACATGTTCAACAACGCTCATCATCCTATAGACGGCAAAGCGTCTTTTGTATATCTGAAGAGACATGGCGAACTTAGGCTTCGTTTCCAGCAGATTGATAACCACTGGCAAGAGGTTTCTGCCCAGCTTGGGCCCATGATCTCAACCAAGGAGTCATTCACTCATGCGGCATTTGCGTCCAACAATGGTAAATTTCGGTTCAATCTATGAATTTGCCAAACTAATTCGATACAGACAATACTCTCCTGTTGGCAGCTTATGATGTCAAAAGGCGGTTACACTTGTACCGAGTCGAGACAGTCTGGAATGTGCCGACAGACAAGCGGAGCCAGAATGCAGGCCCCTTCGAAAAGCCATCAATCCAGGTCTCTCTAATTGCTTTGGAAGACGACTGCAATCCTGTCGACCTTGCGAACGACGACTTGAGTAACGGGACAGCATCAAGGGGCGCTGCTGCTGCTCAACTTACACATCTCAACTTTCTTCCAATTACACCCGAACAGGACGACGGCTCAATACCTACCATTCAAGCGATATATTGCAAGCCACCAAATCCTATATCATACGATCTCAACGCCCACGAGACCCGCTACAGTATCATCGTCAAATGGGAAGTGCATCAAGAGCAGCACAGTCAACTCCATTCTAGCCTTGATCAAGTAACGTCAAAGAAGAAGAGCGTAAGCTCGATACCTGCGCAGAACACTTTCCTTCTGAAAAGGCAGCCTGATTTCTCCCTGCATGGCGTCGTCTTGGACTTTTGTCCGATATGGTATAACATGCTCCTGGCGTTCGCCTACAGCGATGGGGCTATCGAGTTCAGGAAGCGATCCACCATGGAAGTAGTCATGCCAGATGACAATACCGATACTGTAACATCGCTATTACAAGCTGGGTTTGTCTTCCAACATGCAGAACCTTCGTTACACGTTGCGTTGTCGCCCAATCACTGCATGGCGGTATGCATGCAGTTGGACGGCAACCCAAAATTACGCTCCATGGAATACTCTCACGGTACCCTCTCGTCAGACGACGATGACCCACGGCATTCCGCCGCACTCGCAGCACTCATCCTACAGTCCTCCTCGGCAGCAAACCAATACTACTCTAGCGACGACATCTTCGCTATCATCAGCTCCCTTAGCGAGAAACGCAAGCATGACTTCATCAACCTCCTCTTCGAAGGACTCCAAGTTAACATTGATTGTGGTGTGGACGACACTTCTAGCAACCACTTTCTCCTCCTTGGTCGCGGTCCCTTCTTCGTAAAGACGCTTTCGGCCATGAACCTTCTCGGCCTTCAAGGCACCGTCGAACGATCCCTAAGCAGCAAGATGGCCTGGCAGATTATCAATATACGATTCGTCACGCAAACCCTGACCACCATCTTCCGCCTGCATGGCGATACATCAAAGAACAACCTCAAGCCCGAAGGTGTACCACAAATGATCGGAACAAGCAGATGGACCATGCACTTCATGGCATACATCTTCGACGAGCTCTTCACCATCGGTCGCGCGATATCCGACCTCCCCGCCGGCACCGAGCTCACACGCTCTGTGCTCGAAGACAAGATTCACGAGCTCAACAAACCCGCCCTCCTGCTCCTCCTCTCTGCCTTCCCCCGCGCCATGATGAAACTCTGGGCTCAACCAATCCAATGGGTAAAGCGCAGCGCAGCAGCCTACGTCCGACCCCCTCAAGAAGGCAGCCCTCCCGGGCCGCCCCAGACCCCAGAAGCCAAAAAGCTATACTCCCCCCTCGACCAAGCCGTAACCGAAGTCCCCTTCGAATACCGCTGGTTTGAAGTGCTCATCAGCGAAACGCAAAATCACGTCCGCGGCATCTACAAACAGCGCAATCTAACGGACATGCAGCGCAATAGCATCGAGCGGGAACTCCTCCTAGGAAAAATCCCCGACATCCTCTTCCCCGCAGCAAAACGCCTCGTCACAGATACCCTCTGGAACAGCAACCAGCAAAACGGCTGTCTGGCTGATAAACTCGACATGGGGAAACTCATGTTCTTCGATACCACGTGGCTTGGTTTCCAGGATAGCAAGCGTGCGAGGATATGGCACGAGCAGCACGTTGTGGATGTGTGTCAGAAGATGATTATTAGGGGCACGGGGACTTGGGTTCATCCTGTGGGGAGTGCGACGGGTGGTGGGAATCGTGGGAGGAGCGATAGTACTAATAGTGCTGCTGGAGCGAACGGGGATGCGGCGGGTGGGGAGAGGAAGAGAAGGAATTTGCTCAGGCAGTGTACGAGATGTGGTGCGTGTATGGAGGATGTCGTGCCTGGGTTGCCAGGGTATACTGCGGCACACTATCAGTACTTGCTGGGTGTGAGCAAGCATTGTATTTGTGGAAATAGTTGGATGCTTGTTGAGACTAAAGGCAAGGCGAAGTAGTTGGGCTTGCGAAGAGGTATGTAATTTGGATAGAGATATCTGGTAGGAAAATTTCTAGCTCTTCATAATAGAAACGTCAGTATTCAAGCATCACAGCATGATATGCAAAGATCATGTTTGTGGGTATGTTTATCTTCATTCATTCAGTGCAGTCTAGCTGCTTTTCATGTAGCTCATCGTAAGATGGCAGTAGATCATAAACACATACACACGTGGACAAGACTCAGAAAAGCTGTTTATGCCTTGGCGGCACCAGCCTTGATGAGGAGAACATCACCGTCCTCGACAACGTAGTCCTTGCCCTTTGTCATAATCTTGCCCTTTGCCTTCAAAGTGGCTTCATCTCCCTCTTCCTTCAGTGCGCTGTAGTTGTATACGATAGCCTGGATGAAGGTCTTCTCGAAATCACCGTGGATTACACCAGCAGCTTGTGGCGCCTTGGTGCCAGTCCTAATTGTCCATTGTCGGACCTCATCGGTACCAGTGGTGAAGAAGCTACCAAGTTGAAGAGCCTTGCGCATGGTCTGGATGGCCTTGGGCAGCGCTGACGTGGTCTCGAGGGTCTTGAGCTCTTCGGCAGCCTCCGCGTCAGACATGACAGCGAGGCGCTCCTCGAGTTGTACTGAAATGGGAATGATTGGGTCACCAGGGGCGTTGGTCTTGACCCATTCGGCAATCTTGGGTAGATGCTTGTTCTTCTTGCGGATGTAGTCCCTCTCGCTCAAGTTGACGAGGGTTACGACGGGCTTAGCTGAGAGGAGGAAAAGAGGGTTGATGTGCTCGACCTAACAAACTGTAAGTATATGCTTGCAAGGAGTATCTCAGAAACGTGATGTAGTTGGGATATTGTTAATCAGAGTAGGACTTCACTTCAGAACGGCCCAGCGTTAATGGGCCATCAGAGAGCTGGGATTATAGAGCAATCGCTCTTTGTCATCTTCTAACAGGGGGTGTGAGAAAAGGAAATAAGATGTACATACCTCCTTAGGTGACCAGTTGCCCTTCCGGACATCCTTGCCGTCCTGGAGCATCTGAAGGACCTTCTCGACTGTGGCTTGCTCCTCCTTGAGCTTCTTCATCTCCAAACTCTGACCGCCTCTCCTTGTCTCCTTTTGAAGAGCAACGAGTGCCTTCTCAGTGAACTCAATGTCTTTCAGGCGCAGCTCCTCGGCGATGATGTCCAAGTCACGGATCGGGTCAACGTCACCCTCAACGTGGATGATCTCGGCGTCGTCGAAGCATCGGACTACTTGGAAGATGGCATCGACGGCACGGATGTGCGACAAGAAGGCGTTACCGAGACCGGCACCAGTGGAGGCACCGCGCGTCAGACCAGCAATATCGTAGATGGTCAAGTGGGCAGGAACGACCGACTTGGGCTTGTAGTGCTCTACCAGCCAGTCGAAGCGCTCATCTGGGACAATGACGCGCGACTCTTCTGGGTCGATGGTGGCATATGGGAAGTTGGCGGGGTTACCAAGAGAGCACTTGGTGATGGCTTGGAACAGAGTCGACTTGCCGACGTTTGCTAGGCCAACCTGGCAATCACTGTTAATGTGAGAACGCGACGAGGCAAGCTATGTAGGGCTCTCACTCACGATACCGGTCTTCAAGTTGTTTCCTGGCCTGCCGAGCGGAAGCTTCACCTCCTGGACTTGCTTCTTGGGAGGCATCTTTTTCTTCTTGGGCGCGGACGCGTAGGTGCGAGCGGCTGTGAAGGCGATGAAAAATTTGGTGGGAGAAGGTGAAGAGTGTAAAGAGGCCGAAAAATGACAGGCAGTTCTTGCTGCCGGAGAGTAAAAAGTGGGTATCAAAGAAGAGAAAGAGAAGGTCGTCAGAGGCGGCGTGAGGGGCATTAGCAGCCGAAATGCATTTTCCTGGAACAAGCAGAGGCTGGAGGTCCAATCGAATTTTCAAGAGTTTATGTGGCTAGGGTGGCGTCCGTGCGGCGCTTGCTCCAACGCGGCAAGCGCCTGGTCCAGTGCAGATCGCCAGAGCATGGGCGGTTGGGGCAGTTCGTCGTCGACATCACCGCCCATACCTCCATCTCCGCATATTACTTCGAGGGCTGGTCCCGCTCACTGACCTCTACCCTCCCGCCCCCGCACCAGTACCTCACACCATTCAGCATCCTTTACCAGCGTCTATGATACCCCACCCTCCATCTTCGGTACCAAACGTAGAGAGATACCTACCGCAATAGATACCACACTCGATTTCTAAACATTGCACCACACCCATCCATACATCTCACCACACTCACACAAAATGTCGTCCTCTGCCCGACCAAAACCCTCGCGCAAAAGCTCCGGCAACCATAGGAGTACGCTGTCACTTACAAGAACCGAGGTCACCATACATGTCTATGATCTACTACCCCCCGGCAAGGTCGCCACTGTGCTCTGGGCGATTGGAAGTTCTCTCCTACACACGGGTGTTGTTATTGGTGATAGGGAATATGCATATGGCGGGCATGACCGGCGGGATCTAACGGGAGTGTACTGGACGAAACCTGGGCAAGAACCCCCAGGTGGTACTTTCAAGCAGGCGATCTTACATGGCTTCTCTTTTCGGCCTGAAGAAGAATTAGAGGCTATCATCCAAGAGGTATGCAACAGCATTCGTATTCAGAGAACTGGCTAACGTGTCACAGGCCTCGCACGAGTTTCAAGGAACGTCGTATAACCTCCTCACCAAGAACTGCAACCACTTCACGTCCTACCTCTGCGAAAAGCTCACCGGTCGCCCAGCCCCAAGCTATCTGAATCGTGCCGCTAGCATCGGCGTCGCTCTGCCATGCGTTGTACCACGGGAATGGATAGCGCCACCGGATTATGATACTGCTGATGGAGAGTTGCTTGACGAGGAGTTCGAAGACGAAGGAGCGTCGATGCTGCGGCACGACCGAGAACGAGAACGCCATCGCACCGCTGAGGAGGCAAGGGGCTGGGAAAACGAGAGCTATTCTGCTGGAAGTAGTCGTAGTGATCAAGGAATCGCAAGAGGGCCTATTAGGTATGAGGCTGGAAATCTTGCACCCAGGCTTGTCAACATCGCGGAAACGGATTCTAGTGGTCGGCCTATTCCACCCGCTGAAAGGGCACCATTGCCAAAAAATCTGACATGACTCTCGAATTGGTCTAATTTGCCCTTGGTCACTATACACTGCTCTTTGTGATGCATGCCTTCAAGTGAGGGCCCATACCCATAGACGCCTAGTGATGCCCTACTATCATCGTACACTGCTGCTTTCTCACAGACTCTAACCCAATCTCCTTGGCTTCTTGCTCCTCACACCACCAAACTTCAGTCTCGTAGAGTCGGCTAGTTTGACAATCAACGGCCGTATCCTCTTTCCCTCGGATCCCAGTATCGCCTTTGTGACTGCCTCCCTGCCTGGCCCAAATCCTCTGTAAATCAACTCCAACTTCTGAATCTGTGGCAGCAAGCCCTTGTCCTGGATCCGGTTCATGAGGAAAGCTGCGAGTTGGTAGGCAGCATCGTATGACCCGCGCCCCGCTTTCCGGAAACCAATGTTTCCACACGATACCGAGATGAGGGGATTGCGATTTGGCTGTGTGAGACACAGATGTGTGTTGTGCTTGGTAGCGTAAACGTGTAATTTGTGCTTGTCGTCCTCTTCCCACTCGCGTGGTGCAAGATTCTTGAAGCCCGGGGTCCCGTCGGCGTTGGGTATTATGTTCCCAAAGTGGTCAGGACCTGCGTTCTTGAAGTTGCGTGACACATTGCCGAGGAGACTGTCCATTGACAAAGAGGGCTTATTGCGGTCGGTGGGAGACGCATTGAGGGCTTGTGTGCTGTGGGAGAAGGGTCGCAGAGGCTGCGTGTGTTGACATGATGCGCGAATTGTGCATGTGAGCGATCGAAACGTCCGTAAGGTGGTGTTGCTGGCCATGTTGGAGGCGGTATCGATGCCCCGATTGAGGTTCGCGGATGCAGTGACTTGCTAGAAGGTCGAAGAAAGTTGCGAGCTTGGCACTACCGCGGAAAAAGATGGCGATGCCGAAACTGACGTCCTTCACCCAACATTTGCCGCGCCCACTTTCTAAACATCTTCCCTCTGGGCCGGTTGTACTTCAATTTAATTTTAGTCCTATTGTGTTCGATCCTAGAGCATGAGGCCCCAAACAGCAAACACATTCGCCGCCACTGCGCGATGGAGCATACAACCCGCCGCTGCTACGCCTGCAAGCGCATATGGAAGAGCTGCAGCGTATAGACGGATATCGACACTGCCAAGAGCTTCGCAAGTCCCCTCCGCACGCACCTCACTCCCACCCACACCCACACTTTCCTCTCAACGCTTCCTCCGCAGCGAGTTCTTACCCCAAGATGTTCTCTTCCGCACGTCATCCGCATACGCCCGCCACTTCTCTTCTCGCCCCGCACTGTACGAGCAAGCGCAAAAGCAAAAACCTGTAAAGGACGAGGAGCCCCAGTCCACCAAGTCTACAGACTCTGAGGCCAACACAGCAGAGCAGGCTGCAGGCGACCAGGCAAGGAAAGAGGGCGAGGAAGCCAAAGAGAAGAAGGACGGAGAGGAGGAATCTGGTGAACAGAAAGAGGGCGAGGAGGGCCAGAAAAAAAAGAAGGAGGACGCGCCTCCACCTCCACCCCACGGTGACAAGACACCATGGCAAGTCTTCACCGAGACCTTGAAGCAGGAGTTCCAGGCCTCCAAGGACTGGAATGAGGGTACAAAGCAGTTGGGTGGTGCACTACACGACTTCCAGCAGAATCCTAATGTTCAGAAAGCTGGACAGATTTCTGAAGCTGCCAAGACAAAGACAACCGAGGCATTGAAGGCCACAGCATCAGCTGTCGGTCACGGTGCGGCGTGGACATGGGACACCATGCCGGTCAAGGGCGTTCGCGCTGCTGCTCGGGTTACCGGAAGTGGCCTCGAATACGCAACCCGACCAGTGCGACAAACCAAGGCCTTCCAGGCTGTGAAGGAGACCATTGATGATGGTAGCTCGTCAAGATACGGTGGATGGGTCGAGAAGGAGGAGCGTAGGAAGAGGCGTGAGCTGCGCGAACTCAACGAACTCCAGAGAACAGGTGGTAGGACCTTGGGGCCAATGGAAGAAGACCCAAAGTAAGACTTTTCCAAGTAGCTCAAAAGCTTCGACTGACAATTCGCAGCGCTGGTACCAATGTCACTCTGCACAAGGACGCCAAGTACAAGGAAGTCTGGAGAGAGTGGAAGGACAACTCAAAGCTCGCCCAGGGCTTCTTCGGCATGAAGACCGTCTACAGGGAGTCCGAAAACCCCCTCATCGAGACTGCCCGCAGTATCACCGACCGCATCACTGGCTTCTTCGCCGAGAATGAGACGGCCATGGTCATTAAGAGATTCAGAGAAATGGACCCCAACTTCCAAATGGAACCTTTCCTGACCGAGATGCGCGAATACATCCTCCCAGAAGTCTTGGACGCATACGTCAAGGGCGATATCGCAGTCCTGAAAGAGTGGTTGTCAGCAGCACAATACTCAGTCTACGCAGCGCTGATGCAACAATACCAAGCCGCAGGTCTGAAGTCTGACGGAAAGATTGTCGATATCCGTGGTGTTGATGTCCTGAACGCGAAACTGCTAGAGCCAGGAGAGATCCCAGTCTTCATCCTTACCTGCAGAACACAAGAAGTGCACGTATACCGCAACGCCAAGTCTGGTGAACTCGCATCCGGCATGGATGACAAGGTCCAACAAGTCACATACGCTATTGGTGTCACCAGGATACCAGAAGACGTGAACAACCCCGAAACACGAGGATGGAGATTGATCGAGCTGCAGAAGAGTGCCAGGGATTACTACTGAGCGAGTCGCCAACTTATCCCTTTTTCCTTCAAACCTGTGTTCCCACCCTGTACGAGTACGCCATGTTTTCGCGCGTCTTATGTTCTTCCGGCATCTTTGGCGTCTTAAAAAGATACAGCTATTGCTCTGTTTTTACTATAGTCCCTGGCCTCTACATGGGGTCTATTCTGTTTTCGTCAATGGGTCATGGAAGTGGATAGACGGATGCTGTAGAAGAGTACGGCGTCCTACATGACACACTTCTCTACTCTGTATGTATAGTATGATGATTTGATGGATCGGTGGAGTGGAAATACCACGTGTAAAGCATGAGGAATGTGCCCTGAAGACGGAATTGAGAAAAATCAACCCTCACTTCGTACGTTATGCGTCCCCTTAGGACATGTCTTCCTCTTTTCGATAATTGTCAGATTCCGAAGTGAGGTTCCTTAAGCCCATAGCATACCTGTTGTCACAAGCAATGCGTATAGGGACATGTTTTAGTGGTGTGGTAGGCATTGGCGCCAACCCATTCAACTTGAAAGGGGAGGAACATCCACGCCAGACTCCCCAGCCTTGATCAAGTCCTTCATCGGCCGAAGTACGCACCAAAACACTCACACAGTCGACGACATTCCAATAGTATTTATCTTGGCTGCCGTCGAACCAAATTTCCCCTGACAAAGTCGAACCAACAGCCCGCGTTCTCTCAGCCGAGGCATTCCAATTCCGAAGAGTCCGAGCTTGCGCGGAACCTCCGATATTACCAAACGCTCACCGACTTCCCTCTAGCCCAGGAAAAGTTTCTGATTCTAGGCGCCGCGCAGATACGTAACCATGATATCCGCAAGGTCTACCTTATCTGGGCATGTGGGTCGGAGTCTGGGACTCGGGGGTAGGAGGGCATTGGCCCCGCGCGAAGTCGGCCGGTGTTGTATAAAGCCTGGTCGTGGTACAGATAGGAGGATTTTTAGGTGGCAGAGTACTGTTTGTAAGTCTTCCTTGTTCTCGATTGGGTGGGCTGGACCACTATCTGTCGTCATACTAGAATCGAAGAAGAATATCGAAACTAACATTTTCGTAGCAGAATCGCAAACTTCACAACCCATATCAACGCCACCACCACCACCACCCAATCCAAATCTCCAGAAGGCCAAACGCCCAATCTACATCCGCCTACCTATCGCTCTCGCTCTCACCCTTCTCACCTTCACAGGCGGCTTCATCATGGCCGGCGCCCCCGCAATCGAGTCCCTCAGGGACCTCTCGAACCCACCCACCGACGCTGAGACCTTAGAAATGTTCAAGCCCTCCACAGAACAAGTCGCGGAAATAGAACGAAGCATATTCGAGCACCCGATCACAAAATCCTTACTCGAAGACCCCAAATACATTCCTTCGCGCCCCCACCTCAAAATCCCAGAGGGTCTGCGAGCACAAAACTTGACTGGAGGCACTTTACTCGGTCCCGACAAAATCGCCGTCCCACCGCTACAATTCAGCACCGCAGACGGCTCATCGTTTGTCTCTCTGCAATATCTCGGTGAAGCGCTCTGCGGACACCCTGGTATCGTCCACGGAGGCCTCCTAGCCACGCTCTTGGACGAAGGACTAGCACGATGCTGTTTCCCTGCTTTGCCCAACAAAGTAGGTGTCACTGCCAGTTTAAACATTACATACAAGGCGCCGTGCATGGCGGGGCAGATTGTCGTTCTAAGGGCGGAGACGACAAAGGTTGAGGGGAGGAAAGCATGGGTCAAGGGCTGGTTGGAGACGATTCCCAAGGAGGGCAAGGAGCCGCTCATCCTAACGGAGGCAGAGGCATTGTTTATTGAGCCGAGACAGGCGGCGCAGATGAGGAGGGTTGTTAATTAGATTTGGGGTGAAAAGGGATGGTACGGCATTCTCAGGGCGTTGGGGGAGTATCACGTTTAATGTGGACGGTCATTCGTTCGCCGATAGACTTCTAGAGTTGCGGTCTGGAAAGACAATAGTATGGTTTACTTCAGTGAACGAATATGCACAAAGACTCGGACAACCCCCTCGGACGACGTTAGTCGGTGAGATCAAGATGGTATTATAAGACGAGGGGTCAGCAGCGGAAGCCGTCGAGAGACGATACCAAACAGTTATCGACGCTGGGGCTACCGTACATGAGTCTGAGAGTAAAGACGTGGCCAGACCCGAAGATGAATCTACGCATGATGAAGATCTCGAGGCACATCCAAGAGTCGATGGTCAGGACATTCTCATACAATCTAGAGTTCTCGAGATTTGCGATGAGCCTGTCCTGATCAACCTTCCTGTCATACCCCGTCTTCTAGCTTATATGTGCATGTAGAGAATAATTCTATCTGTGCTGTTGTTGGCTACGGAGTAGTGGAAGACTTTAGCGTACCAGTTCATTTTCTCCCTCTTATATTGTGCAATCGCTCCTGAACTATATTAAGCGCAAGTGTGTCACTCTGTTGATTCGAACATCACATTGACAGACACGGTATTTTGGTACGACACTCGCTTCTTTCATTAAAGTATTAACGTCCGATCCAATTCCTCGAGTCAGCCACTACGTCAACAATAGACGTAACCCTCGCACTGCATGCGAAACATTCGGAACAAGCTAAGCTACTACCTTCCCATCTCACTCACACTCGAGCGACCTTCAACAACAGAGAACAAGACAGGAGGAGATCTTTCCATCTTGCACGACGACGCCATTGAAAAACAAAGATATCCAGATCCGTAGATCTGCGATAACACAACAGCCAACAATAACAACAGGATCAAGATGATGCTGCATCCAAAAGGTAACTTTGGACACAGACCAAGTTGAAAAGTAAAAGAGATATCAGGAAACGAGGAAAAAGAAAAGAGTGTATGAGAAAAGAAAGGAATTTGTGGGGTAAGAGTGTTCTATTTACAACTGAGACTCTTCCGTTTCGAGAGGAGAGAGGTTGGTGATCGGCGGGGTTGGTAGTTGGGGGATGGTTGACGCGCTGTGGTGAGGTTGGCGTCGGGTATCTGTAGCGACTGAATGCGAAGCTCGACAACGCTTCGTGTTTGGTAACAAGGGATTTGGGAAAAGACGCCCGGCGCTGATGAATGCTATGCTCGAGAAAGAAAGATCTGCTGTACAGAGGTATGCGTTCGCTGGAATGATGCTACTTTTCGAGAGGGTGGAGGATGTGTATTGGGAGATGAGGACGGTGGATAAAGATTGCTTGGAGCATGGGCTCATTATAGGCGTGATGACGGGCTACATTGAAGTAAAGAACTTAACGGCTTTGACCGAGGTTCAGCCATGACATGTCCGATTGCTCCTTCGCGTTCGGTTGCTGATTGGGGCCAGGACCCGGGAACAAGGTTGCTGAGCTTTCGTGTCCAACTCTTGGTGGTGGGTAGAAAGAGTTGAACTTCGGGCTCGGCAATGCCTGCTCAACCTGTCCTCCTTGTGCGCCACCTGGGCCACCTGGGAACACCGTTGCGGTGCTCTCACGATCTTGTGGAAGACCGAGACGTGGCGGCGCAGGATACATCGAGCTGAACTTGCTCTTGGGCATCTCGTCTTTCGGTGCTGGAGGCGCGTTGCCAGACGGGAACATGGTGAACGTGCTGTCTCGCATGTCAGGAACAGTTGGTGAGTTGTCGCCTTGTCCGGGGTAGAAGGAGCTGAAGTTGCTCTTGGGATAGAACGACTCTGTGCCATCGGGATAGTATGAGCTGGTGCCATGGAACTTGTTGTTAGGATCAATGACCATGCTACCAGTGTACTGACTGCTGGTGCGATGGTCATCACCCATTGGGGTCCAGCTCTCTACTGGATCACGTAGGTAATGACGATCGTCGTGACTGAGAGCAGATACTGAGCTAGCGTTGGAGTTCGCACGGGCGAGCTCAGCTTGCATGGGTTGAACTTGATGTGGTAGGCCGGGCAGACTGCTAGTGGGGGTTCCAAGCGTCGGACTTCCGCTCGCCACTCGGCTCAGACGCTGGCCATCATTGAACTTGGGGATCTCCAATGGAGCAATGTGTTGTGATGGTCGTGAGCTGTACATGCGTGAGTTTGTGTACTGTGACTGACTACCGGTGCTTGTTCGGTCCGACGCGAAGGTCGATCGGTCAGCAGGTGGTGCACTAGCAAGGTTCGTAGCTTCGTTGTTCGCGAAGTACCTACTCCAGCCTGAGCTGCGAGCTCTTGGTGCAGGTTTAGCGTTCCGACTGGAGTTCTGGCGAACCATGGGCTCAACAGGCTCCGGCTTCAGGTCGAACTTGGCAAGCTCGTAGGGCTCATTGTAGCCATCAGAGTAGCCTAGTGGGCTGCTCTTCTTGACTAGTCCTGCTGTGCTGGCGTCACTCGCGACGTTCTTCTTGTGACCACCACCTCGTCCTTGGATGATGGCAAGCGATGTTAGTGAGTCGTTGTTGTGTTTGGGTTGGTAAGTGACGACAGATCCGCCAGCCTCCTTCATGAAAGCGGCACCACGGTCGGCAAAGCTCATCCGGTCATTCTTCTCGACGTAACCTGGATTCTGCTTGCTCTTGTTCTTCCTGTACTTGAGACAGAACAGAATCAGGATTAGGATGAACGCAATGCCAAAGATCGTACCAAGTGTGGCTCCAAGTACGGTCAGCATCTTTCCCTTATTGCTAGGAGGACCCGCAGGTGCGGCGGCTTCCCCGGTCGTACTAGCACTTGGAGTGGCTGATATGGATGCTGTTGGGGTTGGCGTCGATGACGCACTGGAGGACGATACGGAGTTTACTAGGACATCTTGTCCAGCAAACAATGCTGTCGCATTCATCCATGAGTTCTCCTGCGCTTCGAAGATAGCGATGGGTTCATCAGCGTTACCTCCACTGGCGACGGTAGTGCCATCATCCCCTTGTGCTAACGAGTAGCCAGTTCGTGATGTTTTCGGTGCGTATGTCTCGTTATACGACGACCAGTCGTCCAAGGTAACTCGCTTCACCTTTCCCCCCTTCTTATCCCCTCCAGCGAGGGTTCCCGGGGCTGCGGGCGAGCCATCCTTGTTGATCAATAGAATTCGCTCCACGGCGTTTGGTACTGCACTCATGTCAAACTTCTGCAGAGCGACCCTCTTGTCGTTTTTGCTGGTGACTACTGAGCACTTGACGGCGTCTTCATTGGCGATGGGTTCTGTGAGAGTGACGCCGAGGTCTTGCCATCCCGACGCCTTGCTGAACTTCCATACCGCCGTGTTGGTCGCGCCACCACCGACTAGTAGTGCAGTGCTCGCATCCGAGTTCATAAGCATGGGGTTCACAGAAGGAGGCGCGCCACCCGACGGCGAACTTGAGACGGAGTAAGGTTCGACAGTAGAGAAGACAAACGACTCAGACGATGGGCCGTTGTCTCCGTCTGTTTGCGAGCCTGAATACACGAGGATTTCCTTGGATTCTTCGAGGTAAACGGCTCCATGGTTTACGCGATTTTGCGTGTTCCAGCTTTCTGACCGTTGCCAGTCCCACTTCTTCGTGGAGAATGTGTAGTGCATCAGTCCAGGGTAATTCCACGTTGAAGCCGTCTCGTTGACGCGACCTCCAACAATGAACAGCTTAGCCGCCTGGGCATCTCCCTTGGGTGCTGCTTTGACGCATTGTGCTCCGGTGAGCGATATGTCCATAGGCAACGCCTTCCATTCTGCCCCCTCTTCAAGCTTCAGCGACTGAAATCCAGATGGCGAGTATACGTAAAGCGTCTTATCGTAGATGATTGAGCAGTGCTCACTGAGCGGGTAAATAGGCTTTGGCAGCGACATGATTGTGTTGGTCGTATGACGATCCGGTGATATAGCGAACGTGATGTGAGTTTATTCTCGACTCGAGACGTAAAGCAATAGACTGATTATGATTCCACTCGACTTGGCATGACTAGGTGTGAGGTCCAAGGATTATTAGTTGGAAGGCGAATGCGACGGTTGAAAGATGGAACTCGCTCGTGATGAGAAGCGCAAGAGGGACTGTAGCGCAACCCAGTGTTAGTGTGGCCCAGCAAGTAATGGTCGTGTCGAACGTACTCGAAGCCAAAACAGATGCCGGGACCGAGCGCGACAGTGTGTTCGATATGGCGATGTCAGATGGAACGATTCGACGGGTGCACAGGGAGCGACGGGGCAACCCTCTCTCAAAGAGGCGTAGAGGTGTACGAAGGGTAGGGCGAAATGAGAGGCAGCACAGCTCAGCGGTGTGCGGGAGTCGAGATGGAAAGCCGTCTAGGTGAGGCTGTTCAGGCACGGAGGCTGAAGCTGGGGAGAGACAGGTCAGCCTGAGCGAGAGGGAGACGTCCAACCGGCCGCTGCGAGGGTCCGTTCACGCTCACGGTCGTGCAAGGGCAGCACTCGGGCGGGCTTGGGCATCTCCCAAATGGCCTAAGCGGCGACGGCACGAGCGAGGGTGTGACCATGCACACGAAGACTGTCAGGGGTAAATGGTGAGACAAACCAATGACGTTGCGCAGCTGTCGTCGTTATTCGCCAGTGCCCCTGGTCTTAACCAAGAATATTTAGCGTTCATTTTAGCCAAGACACATGCTTGCAGCGAGGAAACAGCCCCAGTGTCGGAACATGTCCCTGGCTTTCTTTGCCATTGCAGCACCAGCAGAGTCTGCACCGTGAGGATGTTGAGAGTTGCGGGGTCAACGGCCAGCAGTACCCGACGCTATTGACCGCCGCTCTACAGCAGTCAAGTCAACTAAATCATGGCATCAAGCCAGCCTCAATAGTCGCTGCTGTGCCGATCTTGTCGCTCATTGTGCATCCCACGTTCTTCGCGCATGAAACTTCCATAACAAGGGTTCTGATCATTTCCGCTCCTACGACCACTTCACGAATCAAGACATACCGCCTCTCTCCTTGCCTCTTCCTGCTCGCCTGTCGCGCGCCATTCCGCCATGGGACCATATGCTCCGGAGTAGAGCGACTTACAAAAAAAAGGCTCCGTAGACTCGACCGCATTGCTGGCACTCGTACATATGCCTAAAAACGTGTGCAGCCGTATATGCATGCACGCATAGTAGTACCTATCGATAGTGCGCGTTCGGACAGTGTCCCCGGAAGCTATGGCGAACAGTTTGGCGGCGCTGGGCATGCTGTGCACCTTGTGCTCGCTCCTAGCTTCCTGTGGGGTTTGCGCACAACGAGTCGCCGTTTGCTGCTATCGCCCACTATCGTCACACATCTCATCACATCTCGGTGACGACGATTCGAACATATTGAGTGTGATGGCATGATGGCAATAAAAAGTATGAGAGGCGCGCGCTCAGGTGGGCGGCTTCGTGATGGGTGGAGGCATACGATAGACCCTCTAGCGGACACCTGAAACAGAATCCACGGCCCTTCTCATGGACGTGCATGACCTGACTCAGCTAGGAACACGCCAGCTGCTAACCACGCGCTTTACGTCGTAAGCGCAATACGATGGCTCCAACACCAACGATCTATTGTTGTCTATGAAATCACCAGCGATCACGAAATCTTCTGAATGCTACTAAAATTGCTCTCTATGCAGCAGCCAACCTTAACCGTGACCACGTTGGTGGCGCTGCGCACATCCTTATTAACCATTTGGCTGCCTACCCCGCCAACAGCACTGAGTTGAGACAGCAATATCCGGCTACGTACTAGGAAGGCATAGGATGCGGTTGGCCGTCATCAATTTCATGCAAGCTGCAAACGACATTCCTTCGAACTCGTGAACTGACGGCAAAACAACTCTCTGGCAGCTAACAACACACCAGGCAATCCCGGTCCCACACAGTGTCAAGTTTCTAGTCAGATCTTAGGACTTGCTTTGCCACGTTACTCAGCCCCCAGGCGTCCTGTCTAAACTCTTCCATGTGTTTATTCTGGTGCCTTGGGCTTCAAGGGAAAGTCTACGGCGTAGACAGGATTCCGAGTGTTTGAGCAACACGGCTTGTCCCTACCCACATGTTCGCTATGCGAAACACTATATCCGCTGCCAACACGCGATATTCTGTTTCGCAGCGGTACGCCTGCTAATTAGTTCGTTGTCACTCAACTGAGCCGGCATGTTTCGTCATGCGTCTTTATGTCTGAGGAAACACACGTGTCCGGGCATGAAGCTCTCTATCGGTTGTCATGCGTGCGCAGATTCCCATGTATCGGAGATTGGACTGAACGGCAAGCGAACGGCACTTGCAGCTGTCACATCCGTCACGTCGGGCCATACAAAAAAGCATCGAGACGTTAGGACCCTCGTGGGAACAAGCAAAGTCGCGGACCGCAGCGTTCGATCTATGTTCGGCTACGTTTCGTTTGAGGGAACTTGCTTTCTCAAACGAACTGGTACCACGAGACGAGGAACTGTTATCGCGGGTACTCGCAATCTTAGGACAAACCTCATTACACATTGTCGCATGTATGCTGGTCAGTAAACTTATCTCGATCGCGAAGTGGTCTCATCATATAAATGGTTATGATTTCCTCTCTATACGGAGCGAATCAATTCTGCGCACGATCAAAGTGCCGGGTTACGCTTTGCACCTTTCGGCACTTACACACCATCAACATTGCCTTGACATGGGCCTGTTCGGGGACACCGCGCCTATGTTGTACATGCACTTGCATCTTAGATATCTGCACCATTTACCTGCATGAGTACTAAGATCTACGATATGTCAGATTAGCAGGAAGCGTAGGATTTGTGTACCGCGCCACCTCCAGTGCTGACCTGACATGCGTATTCTCGATCTATAATTACAAACCTCAATTCCTATGTGCTTCTTTCGCTTGGGTGCAAGACGGCTATCGAACAGTCATGGTTTCTTCTTGTGTCGTGTCGGTTACGAGTAAACTCTTTTCTTCTGTGCTGTACCTCGTGCAGCTATATCACACCATAAATGTATTAGCTATATTGCTTCTCCAGGTACTTCAGAAAATTGTACATCGTGCAACTTCAGATTACATCTTAGATATAGGGTGCATTTCAAAAGAATGACTAATTCTTTGGTATCGATCGAGAAAAATATAGATACAGTTATTACCAGAAACTTGAACAGAGACAAACTCGTTTCCCATGCTGTTTGTATTCGTGTTTGCAATAGGACGTATCGTATCAGATAAAACATGAGCATATTGTACTTCAAGTAGCATCGCTGTCCAATACGAATATTACCCACATTCTGCAACTAGTCTTCGTGTCCAAACATAGCACATCGTAAACACAATCATCACGCATTTTCCGATCGCTGTAAACAGTTTGAACTGTGACGACTATTCTTGTCTTGAATCAACATTTTTAGCATTTGGAATACGTATTCCATGACGGGAAACGTGTAACGACCTACCCAACCACACGGAGCCGGCTCTCCCAGCGGTTGTAGTATCCATCCTTCGTCTTCAACTTGCATGCCTTTTCTAATCCACCTGCCACGTATCCGCTACTTCAATCCAGCCCCCAGCCACCATTTGCTAGCACGATATCTGTCTTCCTCTCTCCACCCTCCGATTCGTCCCCACACCTCGCAGTAGCCGGTAACGTCAAACACGGACTCAACACCGTCGCGAAGTCTTATCGATTAGTCCCGCAGACGTCGACCCTTCCCCTCCACTTGGTCGTCCTTCGCTTCAACGCGAAGTAGGTACACGACAGCAGTGGCGATATGCAGTAGCCGAAACAATAGCAAGTGTGAGCCACGCCACCACGGGTCTGTCGGATACACTAGAGATGTAGGTTGATGGCACGAAGGAACCAGTGGAGGGTCCAGAATGGGTCAAGCTACGGTTGAAGTTGTAGGAAAAGCAAAAAAGGAAGAGGCTAACGAAGACTGGGTACATATAGATTGTATTGCTACATAATAGCTGAATCCTCTTCAAGAGACAGGTCGAGAGCTTATACTAAGCTCTTGTGACTACGGCTCCGTAGTCGTGATTGAACGTCTAGACGGTTCCGACAACCCGGGAGTCGGGATCTCAAGGAATCGTGAACCCATGGGCATGGTCACACGGAAAAACCACCATGAAGGCATCGCAATTGTGCGGTACGCTACAGTTCGTCAAACATAGGTACAGCCTGGTCCAAGGCCAGGCATTCGATGTGACAGCTGTACTACATCATGTAGACAAACTGGTTGTGTAAGTATGGGAATGTGTCTCACCATCAAACCATCTCCTTCATCGAAGAATCTCGAAGACGGTCTGCAGGCGAGCAACGACTATTGTCGTCTGGCATTATTCTCCGCTAGTCGTATAGCTCACTTCAACCATTAATGGGGTTGGTGAGTAGATATTCTAGCGTGGGCAAAAAGGACCTCACGTGCATGGTATCACGGCGACGGCTGGAGTAACAAATCTCATTCGTTGCCAAACTCCAATCCATCGTGGTATCATTTCGAACAGAAAACTTCGACGGGGCCGCATGACGGCAAGTCCATTGTTCGAGCTAGAAGCCGGTATAACGCCCTGCTTTTCCATGCGCGTATCGCATGCCCAGACCGTGAACCCATGATATGCATTTCATCCACTACGGACGGGGATGCTCGTGTCGATGTCCCTCATCGTCGTGGTGTGTGTCGTCAACCAAGGAAAGCGTTGATACGCTTATGCCTCCCTCTGCTTCTTCTTCTCCTCGCGGCCGGCGCTCTTGCGCTCCAGGATTTGCTCACGGTCCTTGTCGAGCTTGAGCTTGGTGATGACGACCTTGGAGGGAGCGATGGGGATGGGAACGGACTGGCCGTTGCTCTTCTCGCGGACGACTGTGTTGTGACTTAGTATACCTGTCGATATGTGAGGATAGAGGGGTA